GGAAAATCCTGTTAAAATGGATGATTTAGCGGCCCATTTTCAGGAAACCCCCATATACTTGCGCATATTTGAGCATGAATGGGTAAACATATAGAGCTTACCAATCAACTACAAGGATATCAGCAGCACAAATTGGTTATATCACCAATTTGTTGGTGTTATTTTCTGAGGATGCCGTTTGATGTTCAAATTACTCAAACGGGGGTTTGGTTGGCTCAACTACCAACCAACCAACAAAATGGCGCTGAGATTTCCCCAAAAAGCATATCGGCGAAAAAAATGGCTCGATAGGTCGGCCAAGGAGCCCATAGAAATTATAGAACATCTATCATAAAATATCCCAAATATAATTATTATTATGGGATTATATAATTTATTGGGATATGAGAGTAATCTATTTTTCTATGGGATGGGATTTATTGGGATATGATAATAAATCCCATCCCATATTAGCGAAGACCATGGTGCTGGAATATGGACACCAACATTTGCCCGGCAGTCCAAAATCACCTAGTGTTGTAGGTTTTCATATATCAGCACCATGGTTCGCATCTGGGCAATAAATCCCATGAATCAAAGTCCTACGGTCCCATGGCTGTGCATCTCTGAGGTCCGGGGCTGTGAATGAACCCCTGAGTTTGCGCTTCAACAACGCCAGCCTGGAAGCTGGAAAGGTGAACCGCCGGGAACGGATCTGGAAGGATAGCCAAATTATGCCAAGGGATCCAACAATTGGGGGTTTCCTGTAAAAATGGGGGGGTACCCCTAAATCTTCCATTTCAATAGGAGTTTCCATAACAAAAAACCATCCAGCTATTGGTGTACCATATCCTGAAATTTCCGTATTCTATCTACTTGAGGATGATTATAATGATTAGTACTGATCAAATATATCTAGATACCCTCTGGTTATTTAACATAGCCATGGAGAATGGCCCATTTATAGATGGTTTACCTATTGAAAATGGTGATTTTCCATGGCAAACTGTAACAAATATCCAGATGGTATATATTCCCCAAATAGTCATGATTCAAACCCTATATATTTATAGATGGTAGTTGGATACTACAAAAATCTAGAACCACCCTGCTCTGGTCCCCGTGGCTCGGCCTGGCCGTAGGCATACACCGTTGGCGTGCGGGTGTTGAACCCGGGCGGTCGCCCATCAGCGTCCCTTGGATGGGGAAACCTCGATGGCAGTGATTTTGGTGATTTATCACTATCTTGGTAAAACCTTATATTTAAGAATATCAAGATATATATATACTACTCAATCTTGACACACTACTTTTATATTTAAAACCTCACAAGAGTAGCAGGCTGAATTCATCCGCTGTTCACAATGATCAACCCATGGGCCCCTTATGCGGTTGCTGCGCCGAGGGACAGCAACTATTGGGGCATCTCTCTTCAGGCGCTGAGAGATCAGCACGGTGAATGGTTATGGTTTGGTTAATGACTGAAGGTGTGACTGAAAGGCTATCGGCTATTGGAACGGAAGTATCCAAGATGAACATATAATATCTGTTTTATGTATGTTTGTTGCAGATCAAAGGGAGAGCCCTATGAAGTTTTAGTTTGCGTTTAGCGGTTTAGCGTCAACCTGTGGCTTGGCCAATCCCCATGTTGGCGATGCTGAAAAACGTGCATAACTTAACCCTCTGGTAAACGTTTACAGTTTGCGAACTGGAAAATCACCATGTTTGAGAACGGTAAATCATGGTAAATCAACTATTTCTATGACCATGTTCAATGGTTATGTAAGAAATTACCAGAGGGTAACTTAAATATCTTACAGTAAATAACCATGATTAACCATATAATAACCACATATTGACCATTACTAACCATGGAAATCCCATTAAAATCCCATTAAATCTCATTAAACAACTTTAATCCCAAAGGAAATCCGGTAACAACTTGACAATCCGAATGTTTTTTTCGGTCAGGATCACACCAGAGCCACCTTCGATGCGAATCTTCGCATCCCAGGGTACCTTGGGCTGCTGTTCGATGGCTTTTTGCTATTTGTCGATCAATTCCCTGGGGGGATATGCAATGAATATGTCATGAATATGTAATGAATATGTAATGAATATGTAATGAATATGTAATATATCACATATATCCAGTCATGTCCAACTTAGTTGAGCTTGGGGCGAGGCAGTCACCAGTCATGTAGTTTTCAAAGTTTGCGGTGATCCAATGCCGGAAACCATCGATTTTCCTATGAAGATCATAGGGGGGTTTTCCGGTTAAGATGTTCCCATAAACCCATCCATTGAATTCCCATATGAATCCCTCAATTGTAATGTGTGCATGATTTTCTAAATGCTGGTCCAATTGAATTTCATTCTGTTGGATGCTGATATCACTGATATCCTCATCTGTGTCGATTGAAGAAATGTGCGAAGATCCCTTTTCGCCATGAAATTCCCCAAGACATCTGAATCATTCTGTGCAACATCAAACGTTGGCCCATTCAGTATGTGAATCCCCTAATCTGGTTGGTGGTTTGGAACCAGCAACAAATAGGGATTTAATGGGATTTAATAGGGATTTATATATAACCATTATAAATGGTATATCATAACTGGTTGGTGCTTTCAAACATTTTTTATTTTCCATAATATATGGGATAATCCTTCCCATTGACTTTCATATTTTTCAGAGGGGTAGGTCAACCACCAACCAGAAATGGAAGGTCCAATGCGAAAATGATCGATTTCTGGTGGAAAACTCCGAATTCTGTTCCTCGACATCACTGAGGTTGGAACTGAAATCCATCCCCATTACCTGCAATGGCACTGGTCCGGGGACCAATCATTGTGAGAAGCGTTGAGAAGATCCGAAACTTCACATGGAACCATACCCAGATGCGAACCATGGTGCTGGTATATAAAAACCTACAAAACTGGGTGATTTTGGACAAGGGCAAATGTTGGTGTGCATATTCCAGCACCAGGGTTCGCATATGGGATATGAAACCATTTGGCACGAGGTTGGACGAACTCTGATCCACGTGTGCTCACTATCGTGCCCTGGCTCGCAAGAGATCCCCATGAAAATCCGATGAAATCACCATGAAATCACCATTAAATCCTATTATATCACCATGAAATCCAGTGAAATCAATGGATATTTTGGGGTTGTCACCCATTCGTGATAACCCATTGGGGATGGTTGACCATTGCCACAGTGACAGTACGCCCCCATTCACCAAGTGGTTGCTCAACAGGGCACGCGGGATGCACGAAGTGTATCGAATTCTTGATTTTATCTTCAAAGCTTGTGATCAAATTCAATTCAATACTAATTTGATTTTGGCTTCATGCCAGGAATAATTTAATAGTAAATTAATAATGTGGTTAAAACAATGTCATAAACCACCCCATGTTTGATGCTTTATACCCATCAAAATGGTGACTTCGGGATGCTTTATGGCATTGTTTGAACCACATTAGTTGTATCCTCCACGGGGAATACCCTCTGGTAAACTAACATAGCTATTGAAAATTGCCATAGAAATAGTGGAATTACCCATTAAGAATGGTGATGTTCCATAGTTATGGTAGCTGACCAGAGGGTGACCACATTAGTTGTATCCTGTAGGGGGAATATCCCCACAGCTCAGGTCTTGATTCAGATCCGCGTGTTGCACGAAATTCCCTCCGGCACCCTGCAGAGATTCGTGGTTCGCGCGCCGGGGGAGCTCAGTGGCGCGGTGGTTTTTTACGAAAACGATCGGTGGGTGGGTTGGAACCAGCAACAAATAGGGATTTAATGAGATTTAATAGGGATTTAATAGGGATTTAATAGGGATTTATATATGACCATTATAAATGGTATATCATAACTGGTTGGTGGTTTGGAACAAGACTTTATTTGCCATTTCATATATGGGATGTCATCCTTCCCATTGACGAACTCATATTTCTCAAGATGGTCATTGCACCGCCAACCAGGAAAGGTCAAGTTGATATAGTTCATGGGGATCTGTTTTAAGCATAAAAAATATAGAATTCCAATAGTTAGAACTGGTTGGTGGTTTGGAACATGAATTTTATTTGTCCATTCAGTTGGGAAATTCATAATCCCAACTGACGAAGTCATATTTTTCAGAGGGGTAGGTTGAAACCACCAACCAGCGAGATTTGCTGCATGGGATAATCTACCCCAATTTCACGGAAACTCCATCTATACCGGTAAATGGATGAGAACTGGGGGTCCCCCCCATTTCAAGACCATCATATATCATCATGTGGGTTTGTGTGAATATAGGCTTACCCCGACATGTCCCTCTTTCTTTTCGCCTCATCTGACTCATCTGTAAGAATTCCCCATGGCAACGTCGGCACCAAAAAACGCCTTTCAGGCCTGAAGGTATTATGTTCAACGAGGATCCAGCCAAGGCAGTTGGGAAAATTGGAGGGCTAGCGTGATATTTACATAGCTATTGAAAATTGCCATTTATAGTGAGTTTTCGATTAAAAATGGTGATGTTCCGTAGTTATGTTAGTTTACCAGAGGGTATCAGCCATTTCAACAAGATTTCAGCATCAAATGATTGACCTTTCATGGAATGTTTTCCAAGTTTCTAGCGAGTTGGCAAGGTGAGTCAGCTAGCCGTGGCCATGCGCAGCTGCCTCAAGAGATGAAAGATGTCAAAACATGTCAAAACAGACAAAACAGCCTGTTTTTTTGGTCACTTTTGTTCAGTTCCTGATTAGATCTTAGAATCATCAGAAGATCTACCAGTTCCTGAGAAGATCTGATTAGATCCATCCAGATCCCTCAAAAGATTCGGCGGACAATTCCATGTCATGTTGGTGAAATTAACTCGAGATCCCATGAATTTTTTGATGTTAAAATTCCCCATCTGTTTTTAGTTCAACCAGTCGAATCCCTATCTTTTCCATATTTCCATCAGATTTTACATTTAAAAAAATGATACATAAATCATCATACATCACATTTTCCAGAGATGATCCCCATAGTTTTCTTCTTCCACGCCATGTGGTTCCACCTCTTCCCTCTCCTGGGCGGAGCGCTTCCGCTGCCGGAGCTGGATGTGGTACAACGCTTGCCTGGATGGGAGGGCCAGCTGTTGTCCAAGTGCCGTGCCGAATCCAACGGTTCCAACGGTTCCAACGTGGGTTTCATGGGAAAATCCACCCGTTTCTGGATGAGTTGTCCACAAAAACCCATCCGTTTATGGTAGGGGAAACTTGCTGATGGTTTGGTCGTTGGGAGGATTTATCGATCATTTATGATGATTTTCCTATGACAAATGGTGATATACCATATGAATCATATATGGTCCACCATTGATGAATTTTCTTATATAAAAATGCGTTGAGTTCGGGGATTTTCTGATGGTTTCGTTGTTGGAGAAGTAGAAACTAGTGTTTACACATGGGTTCAAAAAACATCAAAACATGGTGATACAGGTGGATATGATAGATGATGATTGATGATTAGTTTGAAGATCGTACTAAACCTTCTAGCATGGGGAATATCAGAATCCATGAACTTGGAATCCTGTTCTCAAGTTGATGACTGGCTGGGGATTTTCGAGCACATTTTTGGGATGGATTAGAACCACCAACCACTGATGAGGCGTCAGGAGGTTGGAAACCGCCCAAAAGTCGTAGGACTTCTGCTGGCCCCCAGGACCTATTCAGGTTACGTCCCCGTTGGTGAAGTCGATGGACGCAAGATGTACGAACACTATCTGTTCTTTGACCCTTGGCTCATGGGGGGGTTGATGTCCGGGCACTGGTTGAGAGGCAAAATGACCTGATTGGAAAGCTGAAGTGGAATTGGGATATGGGGGTTTCCTAAAATCAAGGTACCCCAATAGCTGGGTGGTTTATAATGGAAAACCCTATTAAAGTGGCTGATTTGGGGGTACCCCTATTTTAGGAAACTACCATATAGAAAGAATCTCATGTTGGTTGCGAACTTTGCACGGACAAGGATTGAAAAAAAAAACACCACACCCCCGGCATTTCGGTCTGGACGATTTGTGTGGCCCATTCCACCAGGAGAGCGAAGGAGATCCAAAGAAAGATCCACTTATCATGTGGACGACACTTGGCTCCAAGATGCACCAGTGCCATCTGGGTCCCCCGATTCGATAGTGGTAAGTTGCTGAACGGTTCACCAAAAAGTGAGTGTTGGATAAGATATTGGGACATAAATGGACATAATATATATATATATATGTACACATATATCATAATATATCAGTGTATATATATATATACGCAGTATATATATATATATACATGTATATATATATATATAACCTCATGACCCTAGTTCTAAAGCAACAAAGATCACGAGACGTCACGAGGGCCCCCCGTGAGGGCCCCCCGGTTCCGCCAGGAACGGAGGGCCCGGTGCCTCATCGTTGATCGGATCCTTTACAGAGCTGGGACCCTACTACCTGTCACACCTGTCCACCGAAACCGACTCCTATAGGCTGGGAGGACTGGAAAATCACCATCTAACTGAGAACGGTTTTTTTCAACCTATATCAACTATGGGCCTATGGGCCAGCTATGCAACAAATGACCAGATATCATTGTATCACATTCTTTCCCTCTAATAGAGGGAGTACTATTTTTGGATCCCAGCCCCCCTTTTTCAAAAAAGAGGAGTGCATATCGCTGCAGGCGTACTGGAGTCCCCACATTGTTCAAGAGCTCCTACCGATGCTTGGTGGATCACTGGAACCCAAGGAGATCATGGAAAAGTCGGAGTATTGGCCATGAATTATCGGGATTTACCCGCTGGTAAACTAACATAACTATGGAAAATCACCATTTTCAATGGGAAAATCCACTATAAATGGCCATTTTCAATAGCTACGTTAAATTACCAGAGGGTATCTATCCAAAGAATCAACAGAATAGATGACCAACAGTGAAATTTTGGACGACGGTTTCTAAAGGTTTTTTGGGGCGAAGTTCTTCACATAAATGCAACGGGCATTTTCGTTCGTTCAACCACGATGTTGTGAGGTGGTGCGTTTTGTTTAAGCGGAAGCCTCATAGCCCATCTTTTAGTCAGCCCAGGATGGACCAAGCTGGGCGGCCTGATCATTCGGAGTCTCGTCGGTCAGTTTCGCTCTGCGGAGGTCAGTTTTTCCCTGTCGCTTTTTTGGCGGCTTAACTCAGAGGAACTGACAGAGGTAGGGATCTATGGATCATCTATGAATCATCTATGGATCTCGGATTATGTCCGTGATGGGATGTTTAGATTCCTGGTTTGGAACTGGAGGATTCAATAGGCAGAAACAACAGAAAGGTATGGGCAATGAGCAGCTGGCTGTCAGGATTGCATCTCCAAAATACGCGCTGGGAATATCCCAGTACCAAGGCATTTCTTCGGGTTTTTTGGGCCTTTCAAAACTTTCCAATACTTTCCAGCCTGCAGAAAACAGGATACTATCAGGAATCCATAACTTGATTTCTTGGATCTATATGGTCCAAAGATGGTTTTTACCCGAAACGTCTGGGGACGGTCCATCCATCAATAGTTGATGTATCCATGATGAATTTTTGAGGATTCCCATGGGATGACCATGAAAAATTTTCCAAATGCACTGAAGGCAGCTGGATGAAAAGGCAATTATCTGGGTAAATTATAACGACCTCACTGCGACCGAACCCTGGAATCATGGTTAATAAGGGGAATCATCCCCTTTTATGGCCGAACATTTCAGGTTTGTGAACTATTATAATTTGCCCAGAATTATGATCATTATGGTCATTATGGATCATTAACATACATACATATTGTACTTATGATATTATTTATCTATATGATATCAATGATGAATGATCATTCATTCGATCATTATGGATTATATGGATCTGTGTAAATTATCATATTGCTCTAATCTGAAATGTAAGGCTAGCTATGGGGATGTTTCCCCGATACTTTCACCATGATTATAGTGAGGGAGAACAGGCTTCGGTCGCAACATCATTTACCCAGATTATATGGATACTTCGCATAGCTATCTTTATACTTATGAAAAAGTCGGATAGGAGAAGCCAGACCGCTCCAACTGCTTTCTCGGCCACCCCCTTGAGCCAACTGACAGGTTGATGTTTACAAGCGGCAGTTTTGACTGAGCAGTGTTTAAAACGCCTGTTCATGATTATATAGATGATTACAATTTCTGGTTGGTGCTTTTGAACATGAATTTTGTGACTTTCCATTCAGTTGGGAATTTCATCATCCCAACTGACGAACTCCAATCATTTTTCAGAGGGGTAGGTATACCACCAACCAGATACAAACTAATGTATTGTGGAAAATCACAATCCCTGAGGGGAAGTCCGTTCTCAACCAACCCGTACATAAAGGACGACGTTGCGGGTTTTGAACACTGCTCGACTTGGTTAGAATTGGATTCTTTGACCCGATTGACGTATTAGACACTGACCCATCAAAACGACAGTGGCCTATTTGCATATGTTATGATATGATATATACCATTGTAATCTATTGCACCACGATTACTATACTCCAATCCAATAGGGTTCTATATCATATCTATATACCATCAATACGATAGCCCATTGACTCTCATTTTAAACAATGGCATAGAATGACTATGTAGATGTTTGTGAGATACCCTCTGGTAAACTAACATAACTATGGGAAATCACCATTTTTAATGGGAAAATCCACTATAAATGGCCATGTTCAATAGCTATGTAACAAATTACCAGCGGATAAATTTCAAATGCTGCCGCCAAAAAAATCGCACATCATCATCATGCCATTTTGATCAGGAATCTGCCGCCTCCGGTGGGTTTCTCCTACTGCGAGCCCGCGGGTCCCAGTGGTGATGGTCATAGCTGCGGCTCCTGGAATGATACGCAGACGGCCAGGCACAGCTTGATCTTCATGGAGAATTGGATGCAGAAATTTCCTCAGAAACTCGGCGTTTTTTTGCTGAAGAAATTCGTATTTCACGGTGGCCCAAGGAACAGTTCTATATACATGGACAATACAATACTCCTATAACTCAGTGTTATAATGTGTTATATATATACATATATATATATATTGTATATATATATTGTATATATATATATTGTATATATATATATGACTATGAACCCATCAAAACAACTGTTAGCTGGGCCATAACTGTAGAGATTGGTGGCTAAATGGTTGAAAAAAATGTCTCAAAAATTGATAAAAATGGCTGGTAGGTGGGGCGAAATGCTGCTGGTACGGCTTTTATTGGAGTGAAAGGTTGAACTGGCCAGGCTGGATGGGAAAGTTCCCCAGAAATGATTTGCAGCCATTGCAGCCAGGTAGTTGGTTGGGGATGTTGGGATCATGTTTTTTCTTGGGAAACCCTGTTGAAATTCCAACCTTTAAAAATGGTGATTTTAAGCTGATTGTGTATTATTATGTACCCTCTGGTAAACTAACATAGCTATTGAAAATTGCCATTTATAGTGGATTTACCCATTAAAAATGGTGATTTTCCATAGCTATGTTAAATTACCAGAGGGTATTTCCCACATGATTTGAATGTATTTGACTTTAACAACATGAAATGCCGAATTTTTGGGACAAGGAAACCGGGCAAATCAGCTGCCTGCATTGTCGAAGTCCCAGAACGAACACGGTTTTTTTCCTGGAGATTCATCAAACAGAAGCCTTCAGATTTTGTATTGGTATCAATTCTGGTTGGTGGTTTGGAACATGATTTTTATGACTTTCCATTCAGTTGGGAATTTCATCATCCCGACTGACGAACTCATATTTTTCAGAGGGGTAGGTATACCACCAGATTTGAATCGTCAGCTTTCCCTATGTCTTTGTTTTCGCAGGTATTCAAGCCACGACTTGTACCTCGCTGGGGAATCCTACGCGGGGGTCTATGCCCCTTGGCAACAAGGTATCCAATTTTGAGGGTATCTCTGAGCCCTCACCAGGTGTTCCTCTATTGAGAGGTTTGAGGTTCCCATATTTCACCCTTTTCCACAGAAACAATCAGTGGCATGTTGACCCAAATTATGGGTCAGTTCTTAATGGCGATTAGTTCCTGAAACGTTCCCTTGGATTTTCCCACACTTTCCCTTGACATCTCCGGGCTTAGCGCGGAGGTTCCCATGTTGGCGCGGCTCATGCTCTCCTCTCCTCTGCGGCAGCAACTGAAGGGCATTGCGGTCGGGGATGGCTGCACCTGCGGATCTGTCAATGGCGCACAGTGTCTGGAGACTGGGTGGGGATGAGGATGGCTGGGATGGGGAACTGCATCATACAGGGTCACCTTGATGTGTATGTATACATATACATGCATATATACATATATACATATATATGGCATTGACTGGCCATATCCGCTGAAGTGGCTTTCAACATGTTAGAACCATGGCTTCTCAACGTACCTCGTCACCGTGGTTCCCTTGCGGTGGCCTCTGGAGGAGACTGCGGGTCCCTTCTTCTCCGTGGAATTCTTTCATGGCCATGGGCAGCTTCCTGGGTATAGATCGAAGCATCCAAAAATGGGGCCGGAAAGCCTCTAGGTTTACCAACAGTTTGCTGAAACTATCGGAAAATGACCATTTCTAATGGGTAAAGAAGGTAGATTGACCGGTGAAGTTGGAAGAATCCTAGTGGGACCCCCGTTCGATAGCGGTTTGTTGGTGAACAGCTCACGAAAAAAAAAACTGTTGGGTTTATTCTTGGGATACATCGAACTTCTTAGATAGGGGTATAAACCAACTCACAATGTTTGGGGGCCCCACTATGTACTAATGGGGTACTCAATATAAAGGGTGTGGGATTACTCTCCATGTTCTTCCCATTTTCAGGGATTGATGGTTGATAAACTGGTGAAATCTTGAGCAGAATGGGTATCTAAACGGCAGGAAAATGGGTAGAAATGGTTAGTAACTAGGTGGAAAACCCTCCGATCATTAAACATGATCAATGAAAATTCCAGGATCCTAAAATGGAGCTACGTTAGTTAGTACCATATTTCAGGCCATATTTTCTGGGGATATTCCCTGAAATTTAGGCCATTAAACATGACAGTGGACCATTCTCCGGAGGCTCGTCCAAAATTTGATGACCGGAGGCCTGCTCCGGATGTCCCACCGAGAAAAAATTGTTTGTCCCATGATTTTTTGTAATTTACGAATAAGCTGGTTGCTTGGTTGGATAATATTCCTATAGATATGAATAATGTGGAATAATAATAAGATAAGATCCATGCCCAAAAGTTTCATTTATTCGGCCATTTTCCAGCCACCTTTGATGCCGGACCGTCCCGCAAAGAGGATGAAGTAGTGGTGAAATACTTCGGAAAGCCATGGAAAGCCCCAAAAAGATTGAAAAGTCATTTACCCTCTGGTAATTTAACATAGCTATTGAAAATGGCCATTTATAGTGGATTTTCCCATTAAAAATGGTGATTTTCCATAGTTATGTTAGTTTACCAGAGGGTAGTACTGGTTTAGGATGTGACTTTTCCATCTGAAATTTGGGGACTTGCCTCTGGCGGCCAAGCATCAAATATCTGGCTGCAAAAAACGTACTCACGAATCGTTTTCCGTCACTGATGGTGAATGTAAGAAGAAAGATCCCCAAGTGGCCTTAAGATAACAGGTATTTTCACGTTCGTGAATGATGAAATAATTCAGCCAGAAAAAAAAAACGGGTTCCATATTTTGGGGGTACCCCATAGCTGGATGGTTTAGGATGCAAAACCCTTTTAAAATGGATGAGTTGGGGGTACCCCTATTTCAGGAAGCCCCCATATGTATCATCATCTGGACATGTTTTCAAAGCGGAGGTCGACGACAGTCAGCTTCAGCCCGTGAAAACTTGTGCAACTCATGGCACAATCTAGCTTTATCCAAAAATAGGCCAAGATCCAGTGGTTTGTCATGGCCATATCTACTTATATTGTGGAATATCAATTTCTATTCGGTTATGATTTATCCTTAATTTGAACAACCAACAACCAACACAAGATAAATTGATGATTGTTTTCCCAAGAAAATCCATGGCTCAATGGAAACCGCGAGCGAATCCTTGTGAACCCCCCGAGGTTCTCAGACAAGACGTATCGGGAGATTCAGAGCAGCTGTGGGGACGAATTGATTCATGGTGTGAAGAGCAATGCTTGCCACTGGGATCCACGGGGTACACGACTGGGGGACGAATTATATATAGATATATATATATATATATATCTGGGTAAATTATAACGACCTCACTGCGACCGAATCCTGGAATCATGGTTAATAAGGGAAATCATCCCCTTTTATGGCCGCAAGATTCAGATCAGTGAATTATTTAATTTAGCCAGACCCAGATAGATATATTTATGCCATTTTATGCCTATAACATCCGATGAACCATGGGATGTTCATGGGAAGATACTGTTTTTTTATGCCTATGACTGATATGACGATGGAATTTTAATGGGAAGATCATCTATCACTGGGATAATGAGGATGTATGAGAGTATTTGATGTTATATTGGTTGTAGATACGGGATGTTCACCCCCATGTTAGGATTTGGGGCCCCAACAAAAATGTGTTTTAAAAGGAAGACTTTGTTCACTGCACAAGTGCTGGGTAAACCGACTGATGACTACTGATGACTACTGATGACCCAGTGGAAACGTTTTCGAATAAAAAAACTTAAACTTACTGATGGTAACTTACTACTAGTGAAACGTTATCATCTCTACTAAGATGGTAGTTACTACTGACTACTAACTTTTTCGAGGATATCTTAGTAACTTGCCATGGTAATTGGGATGATACCGCTGGAATCCATGGTTGAGGATAGAGCCCAACCAGTGCAGAAAAACCCATCGCTATCCCCTTCAGAGATCAGGATACTATGATTCTGTAAGAATCATGATAGTTACCCTCTGGTAAACTAACATAGCTATTGAAAATGGCTATTTATAGTGGGTTTTCCCATTAAAAATGGTGATTTTCCATAGTTATGTTAGTTTACCAGAGGGTATTCCATAAATTTCCATACTATGTCCAGTGGTACAAAAATCCTGGAAGATCGGAAATTCCATGTCAGTTTCGGATCATCCCATGGACAGATTTGAAGAAAAAACTCGACATCGGCTTCCACATTTAAAAAAAAAACAGGATGAAAAAGTTGGGAGATGGAAAATGATGGAAAGTGATGGAAAGTGATGGAAAGTGATGGAAAATGATGGAAAATGATGGAAAGTGATGGAAAGTGATGGAAAGTGATGGAAAATGATGGAAAATGATGGAAAGTGATGGAAAATGATGGAAAATGATGGAAAATGATGGAAAATGATGGAAAGTGATGGAAAATGATGGAAAATGATGGAAAGTGATGGAAAATGATGGAAACAGCAAATCAAACTGATCAAACTGGGTCTGAAAATAGGTGCCACCCCAGCCACCCCATGGAAAGTTTGGCATCGAGTTCATGGAAAAAATCGAAGAATTCATGGGGATAGGATCTGACGAAGACCTGACCATCGATCTGAAACTTCGGGTGTTTGGAAAGGTGGAAAGGTGTTCATTGGTTTGTACCTAATATATCACTGGTGGGTGGTTTGGAACATGTTTTATTGTCCATTTCATATATGGAATGTCATCCTTCCCATTGACGAACTCATATTTTTCAAGATGGTTATTGCACCACCAACCAGATCACCATTTTTAATGGGAAAACTCACTATAAATGGCCATTTTCAATAGCTATGTTAGTTTACCAGAGGGTACAGGTACTACCATGTTTTTTAGTTTTGAGTCGACCTCAGTTTGAGTGGATACAGCTTGATCTTCCACAGGCGACATCGGCCAACGCCGCGTTGCCGTTACCGAGGTCGATCGGCTTTGGACAAAATGGATCGGGAGAGAGGAGCTCTGCTCTGCATCCGGAAGGTGGATCAGGGTGGTACCGCCAGTAATGTTGTTGCAATCCCCATCAACATGATATTAATTATGCTATCAACCATATATCAACTATATATATATATATCCCCATCAACTATATCTATATCACCATATATCATAGTTATGATATCATTGACTATAGATATTATGATAGCATAATTAATATTAACCCATTAACTATAGATAGATCAAAACATGATATAACCCCCATGAAACCCCAGTGACATTGGAGTTAACATGAGTTCACCAACTTAGACGGGGCACCACCCCGGAATTGACGAAAAACCCTTAAAATTGGGAGAGACACCACCAAGAATTTGGCATGGCAAACATCGTGCATAGATGATCATAAATACATGTCCGTTTTTCCACTTATTGATGAAAATAGATTACAGTAAATAAATGGACATATAAACTCCCCATTCTCCACTGGAATTTTAAGTTTCAAGAGGACATCATTGGTGCAAGATGCTATCATGGACCCCACCAGTGCTGGGTATATCCTGCCTACCGATGGATCATGGATGGAAATCGTGATTTTTAGGGGATAGAAACAACCAAAATAATGCAAATCCATTCGACCGAGTACTAAGACATGTATTGATCACCTTGGCAAATTTAAGCCCGTTTTCTAATATTGAGAGGCACAGGCCCTTGACGTTTTGCCATTTGTTGCGCCTTTGTTGCGGGTTTGCAAGAAAGAGTTTCAACTGCACTACCAATTTGCTTGTTTTTTGCCTTTTGTATTTTGAGAGCCAAGTTTTGACAGATTTGAAAGCCTGTTATGTTGTCTCCCCAGTTGTTGCTTTAAGACCATTTATTGAGATTTATTGAGCCCATTCTAATGAACGGTGTCAACGTGTCGGCGATGTTCCAGTGTTGCAGGATACAGCTTTGATTACAACCTCTATGAGGAGTGCTACGATATCGACCTGTATGAGACATCCCAACCTTGGCATCAGATCAACAACAGCGGCTGGGATGGCAACATCCATTCTTCGCGGTGTTGGTCCATGGTTTTTAACGGCTTGGATGGGACCAAATGCGAGCATGATGGTCATTCTTAGTAGCAATCATGTAAATCGACATAGGCCGTCAAAGTTTCTTCTTTTGCGCTCTTCCTAGATTGGTGCAATCTGCCATTTGCAGTCGCAGCAGTGGCAATAAAAAATTGCTTCAAGTTGGGATGATTCCCCAGCGAGGCTATGCCTTAAACAGGACAGAAGCACCAAGTACGCCCTGCTACCTTACCATTTCACCATCGCTGATCAGTTTGACCCAGGGCGCACTTGGCACATGGACGGTACGCCCTGCGGTGGCATCCGAGCCCTTCGTGAGTGGGTCAACCAAAGTGTGGTCAAGGATGGTTTTTTTTCTGCGCTTTCACCGGAGGAAATGGCCCCAAAATGGGGAGATCATTTGGAAAGAAAGGAGAAAAAGGTCATGAAGAGAAAAGTGATTGACTTTCATGATTGTAAACTGAAACAGCAAAAATTGAAGACTGGTGATTCATGATCATTTGCTTATATAAATCCTAGAAACAGCAAAAAAAAATGGCGACTTTTCGAGGATGTAAGTGGTATGACTGGAGTTCTTCTGCGTCATTTCTCAGAAGGCCGATGCGTGGCAGCTTCGACAGCATCTTACAGCGGGTGCACCATTTATAATCAATAAAGGTCCATGTCTTGATTTACATTTTTTACAAACCTCTATTGATTCTGGTGATTTATTATCCAACCAGTATAATTCTGGTATATTCTGGTGATGTGGAAATTTCCTAACAATTTTTGCATCACCATGGTCGCATCTTACCCGAAACATGAAGCTCTGGCCCATGGTCGCTTGGGATGCACACTTAACGATGATCATCCCAGTGATTTTTATCCAATCCGATCCCAAGGTCCTTGGCGAATCTCGGGGGATTTTTCAAATCCCACCTGGATTTGACATCTGGTAAGTCATCATGACATGACTTGATCTATTTTTGGGTAGAGCTACGTAAACGTACCATATTTCAGGCCATAATTTCTGGGGATACCCTGAAAATTAGGCCTGAAAAATAGGCCTTATATATGATATGTACCTCCAATTTAGGTTTCTGAAATATCCGTTGATGACAAAGTTTGATCCGCAGGAGGCCTTGCACGTGGCCAAAGATGCCTTCTTCTTCAGTGGTGACAATGGAGTGGGCTTCACCTACAACTTGACGGAACCCAGCCGCTTGCGCCGAACCAAAAATTGGAGGGGAAAATCTCATCGAACTGAATGGGGTGAAGTGCATTGAATTGCTGAGATTTTCGAAAGATGGATACTGGTTGGTGGTTTGGAACATGAATTTTATATAATTTTATGACTTTCCATATATTGGGGGAATGTCATGATATCAATCACTTCAACCTGGGATATATGAACTAGCATTTAAAAAATACCTACTTCTATTACTAATAGTGGTAAGCTCCGAAGATGTTAAGAATTGAACGGGTGGCCAAACCAACTGATGGGTTAATGAATAAACCAACTGGAAGTTATGGGGTATGAATCGTGGGAGAGTAACCACCGATAATTGAGTATTTACTGGCTTACATAGTCCATCATAGTCCGTCATAGTCCATAGATGTCGTCTGCAGCTTGATGAAAGGTCATCCTGGAGTGGGGAGGTAAGCAAGTCCTATTAAATCCTACTAAAACCCTTGGATGTCCCAGTAAATCCCATGTTTTTCAAGGCCTGCTTCCCTGGTACCGCGAGATCATTGAGAAAAAGCAGCTGCGGGTGTTGATCTACAACGGTGATGCGGACCCAGGTTGGGGCGCAGAAATTCGAAGCTGGAGGCTCATTCCCACCTAAATGGGTGCAGTAATAAATTGGACCGGAATTACTGGGGTGAACTAAGCCATTTACGAGTGGGATGAGCCAAGTATGGAGAATTCTAAATCATAACTGGTTGGTGGTTTGGAACATGAATTTTATTTTCCCATATATTGGGAATGTCATCATCCCAACTGACGCACTCCATCATTTTTCGGAGGGGTAGGGCTCAACTCCCAACCAGATAAGTCATCACTGGAACTGTACGAGTCGCGGGAATCTCTGTGTCGGTGGCCCAAACCCCAATGGCCTTACTAGTGGCTAAAGTGAGCGTGATATCCTCAAGATATCCCCATTTTTGTGCCCAGAAATCATATCCCCAAGCCCTTTTTTTGGTTTTTACGGCTTTGGGCATATCAGATCTCCATGATCTTCCTCAAATATCTAGTGATTCTAGTGACATTTTTCATATCTCAAATCAAAAAACGGTGTTCCCATGATTTTCCCCTGATATTCCGGTGATATCCTCAATTCCCCAGGCTTGCTGAACAGCGATGAAAAAAAATCCCGGGAATCGTCAGTGAACAGGCTAGACATACCCTCCTGGGTAAGATAGTATAAGTGTATACATAATATAATTATATATATGTGTATAATAACATAAACATATAATATACATATATTTGTTAATAATATACATACATAAATCATACATGTACATATACAATATATATATATACAATACCATATGTTATATATACACATTTACATGTGTATATCTTTACATCTACATCTGCAAAAGGCTGTCTTTTGACAGATCTCCAGGTCTGAACAGTTTCTACGGTGAAAACTGGACATCCTCGCTGGGCTTCCCATCGCTTCAATCCTGGCGCCCCTGGACCCGCGATGGGAAGATGCCCCTTGGAGTCACGGATGGGCCATGGGATGATGGCTGGATCGGTCCTTGGGAAATTCCTACGGATTGCCTTTAAATATCGATGGGGCCCAATGAAGATACCTGGCCGTTGCCGAAGAAAAGATCTTATAGCCGGTCTGGTCAACGAACTAACAGTTTGCGAACTTGAAAATGGCCCAGTCGAAATAGTGGATTTACCCAGCTATAAAATGGTGATTTTCCATAGCTATGTTAGTTTACCAGAGGGTAAGTGGCTTAACTATGGTTTATGGTAGATATAATCATAATGTCATATGCAGTTATAATCATAATACTCCATGATTATAATTATTGGGATGAACCATTTTTATGATTATAGGATGTACTTATTATTGGAACTAGCCATTTTCATGATAGAATGAATTCGATGTATAAATAAAGCATAGTTATAATAACTATAATATATATATATATACTTTAGCTATAGGTATAGAACAATAATCAATGGTATTATAACAATCATAGTTGTTTATATAAACACTACCCAAACTATATATAAAAATACTATATATAACTGGGGAAGCACTGATTTTGGATCACGACAAGAGTGTGATCCAATCAGTTTCGCCACTCTTGGCATGGGCACATGATCGCGACGTTGCCCTTCTTCCAATATTGGGGAGATGACCCATTATTAACCTAAAACTGATCTTTAAAATCCATCAAAAATGTATGTTTGATGATGTTAGGTACTCAAAAAAGTCACCCAACACTCTGCCTTCTTATTGCTGGATCCCAACCGTCCTGCAACGCATATATACCTCATGTTTTCCTTGCCATTTCTTCGATCACCAAGGCCCAGAAACTATGGCTGGATGGTAGGGGAGGGGATTTTTATACTCACGAATAATATATATATATATATCATTATAGTCATTATTTCCCATTAGATACTAATAGTTGTTGATATATCCCATTAGTTAAAAGTTAAAAATCCTAGGTCACCTATTTGTGCCAGCCAAGGAAAATGGGTGGCTATGCCACGCGCTACGTCACGGATTTTGACTACGTGACCATCCGTGGCGCAGGGCATATGGTTCCAGAGTATAAACCCGAAGCAGCATTCGTGATGACGCTAGGCTCAAACAGGATGTGGATGTGGGTCAAAATGGAAGACCTAGGGGACCATAGATGTTAGTCTAGTTTAGTACTAACCATCCAATTATTGGGGTACCTAATTTTGACCCATACCCATGTGATTTCTATTTTTTGAAACTCTAATTCACGGTATCAGCCATGAACAGCACTAGCCGCCTTCACTGTGTGCCCAGTGAGAAATGCTGGCAGAGAGGAAGCGAAAACATATGAAAACATGCATAACTGGGGTATTTCTCTTCAAAAACAATAGTGGGCCCATGTGTTTCTTGGAGCTTTGAAGTGTTGACATCCCGAAAATCGTCTTGCACAGGGCAGCACTGGGGTTCAAACGAACACAGTTTGCCACCCAGTGTCGACCTGTTGTGTGGCCCATCATCCGTGTGTCGCCTAAGCCATGCCGCCACTCTATGACATCACGGTAAAGAACACCTTCTTGGACTTCGAACCAGTGGACCTTTCCCAATCAGAACAATGTTTCCGCCAAACATTGTCTTGTCCTTGCTTGTCCTTCCTTGCCACAAGTGAGGCTGGGGTGAAGACAGACAGCTCTGGCTCCTCTGGGTCCTCTGGGTCCTCTGGCTCCCAGTTGCGAGACGTTGCAAGTTCAGTATCCACTGACAGCGACATTCTGCCAAACAAAGGTGTGAATCGGAAAGCCGTGGAAAAGCTCCGGGGGCAAGATGTGGGCATCGGAAACCGCGGGTCCAAAAAAGCCCTGGCAACGCAGATGAGACTCAACAAACAATTGATGCAGGCGCGCCCATCAAGTGGCAAGAAACCTGACATCTTCGCTTTGGTTCGGACTCACATCCACCAAATGAATGCAGTGAACTTGTCAACGGCTATCCATCGCATTGCTCGACTTGGGGGTCCTGGAGAGAATGAGACGTCTGTGTTGGAGGCCTTGCTCACTGTCATCGAGGAGAAAACATGGCGACAGCTGCAAAATGACGACGATTCCATGCCAGCAGGCTGTGCCACAATTGTTGCATGGTCTTGTGCCAGTTTGCAGGTGCCAAGATGTGGCAAGATGTGGCAATTTTTTGTTGTTTTGCGTGGTGGGTTTGTACTGGGATACTGGAACCCCCCTGACACCGCCCCAACTGTTGAACCTGTTGTATCCTGTTGTAATATGTTGTAATGCTTACAATGTATTACAATTTACACAATGGTTGCCAACCCTTGCTGCGCAGGTCTTTCGACCAGATTTCTTCGGAGCGCTGATTCAGGTGGTGGAACCAAAACTGGGCAGCTGCAAAGACGTTGAGGTCACAAATCTCCTCTGGGCATGTGCTCAGCTCGTCAAACACCAAGCTCCTGAAGACGGCCCAGGAGTTGGTCGGCCACTTTCTGCGCTGATGGATGCGGTTGAAGTCTACTTCCAGGGTCGGCTTCAAGAGATGCAAAGTCAGATTCTCGTCTCAGCACTTGTCTCAGTTGCCATGCTGTCTGCAGTCGGGAATCTTTCTTTGACTTCCTTTTCAGCAGCATCTGCGATGCTTTGGCATTGAAAAGTAGTGAGCTGTCATTGAACAACAAGACTCAGCTAGGAGTTGCAGGCCGGATCATGACAAAATACCACGAACAAGTGGTTCAGGCCGTGTGCAAATCCTTCTCTGAGAAGTGCCCGGAATTAGCTACCTATTTCCGTGTCTGATTTCTCCAGTTTAATGCGCTCGATATTCACACAGCTGGAGGGGGGCGCCACTGCGAATCAGTAATCTAAAGTTGTCTGAGAACTGCGGGGAAACTTGAGTTCAGTCCATCAACGACGGCATGTCGTGACTCAGGGGCACGTTGCAGTTCTTTAATCTGCCAACCCAGGATGTCTTGAAAGGGGAAGCAGAGGTGCATTCTTGATGTCACATGTGGTAGATTCAAAAGGCATTTCTCAAGGCATATCTTGGAAAGCTGCATCTGTTTGCACCTTCTCCCATCGAGAATCCTGTTTACATTCTAAACTCCTTGGCATCACGTCGAGTGATGTGAGATCCAAGAGCTGGAAACTCATGACACTGCTAAATCTCCAGGTGCATTAGGGCCAGATAACTTTAGCTGTGTGGAGAATTGGAGAGTTGGACCACCCCCAGGCTCTGGGTCTCAACGGTCTCAAATTGGAAGCGTGACCCTCGCCAGCTTGTCACCTGTAAGACTACAGTGCACAGAATGCTGGCTTCAGCTCCGCGCAACAGCCTTGGGTGTTTCCATAAATGGGGGGTTCCCCAAAATGGATGGTTTATAAAGGAAAATCCTAGTCAAATGGATGATTTAGGGGATGCATCCATGTGTTTTTTCAGAGCTGGGACTGAAGCAGGTGATACCGAGATTTCGTATCGCAACATGCTGAGAGTACAGCGTAGCTGTACAACAGATAGAAGGCCAGGCCGGTGTTTAAAGGATCCTTTGCCGTAACGCCGATGTCTGCAGAGCACTGGCGCTTGATTGCACCCGGGAATTCCTGTGCAGAACAGAAGTAAGAAGGAGACAATGAGCTGCAATGACATATATTTGCAGATACTTGCAGGTTAGGTAAAAGAATTGAAGGCTCATTATGGTCAGGGATTTGATTGAAACTGTCTCTTTGGACTGTGAAGCTGTGTCTATGTGCTGGATGTTTTTTGCAGAATATCGATTCCACCACTTCGAAATTCTCTAAACAAGCACTTAAAGCACTTAAAGCACTTAAAGCACTTAAAGCACGACCACGGGGCACTCAATTCAGTCGTCACTGCAGATGGGACCTGCCCCTGACCGAACTGTCAGGAGCCATAGTGGATCCAGTGCCAAAAAGGTCCCTGGGGAGTGAATTTCCTCGTTCTTGTTTGCATTGAAGCTCTCTGGTCTTTCTTGTACACTTCCAGATTCTTCTCTTCACTATTCCAAGCTTCTCTTTACTCCTTTCTTTGCTTCTCTTTGCTTCTCTTCTCTTGTCTTCTCTTGTCTTCTCTTGTCTTCTCTTGTCTTCTCTACTCTTTTGTACTCTTTTCCTTTCTATTCTACTCTTCTCTGCTTCTCTCTTATCTCCACTTTTCTCTCTACCCTTCTTGCTCTTATGTTTTTTCTACTCAGATCTCATCATTTTTTCTTTCACCCTTCTTCTTTACTGTGGACATCGCCCTGTCGCACTCAGTTTAAACATGTTTAAACCTATGCGCGCAGCCTGGCAACCCACTCCTAAGGTCCTAAGATCTGTATCTCTTGATGCCTCTTGACGCCTCTTTTCTCCTGACGCTCTTTTTCGTGACAGTTCTTTCTCTTGCTCTGTATCTCTCTCTCTCTCTCTCTCTGTTTCGTAGCGTCTCTATCTCCCAACATCTCTTTCTGTTGACAAGCCATTCTCTCGACAAATCCCTCTCTTCAAACCTGAAACGCTCGTAACACAAAGTGTGGACCTCTAAACTTCCTCTTTTATATATTTATATATTTGTTATCCTGATTTATCTGACTGTTCTTGAAACTGATGCTGAAACTAGCAGAAAAGCTGCAAGCGCATTCCTAAGATGGAGTTGGATAGAATATGATTAATCATCGTGAAGATAACAAGAATGGAAGGGTAGAAGTCTACTGGCACGATCCCACAGCCAGTGAATGGGTTTGTCTTAAATGGGTTCTATCCCCAAACTTTTCCCAGGATCTAGGGATTATCATGATTATGGGTATCCCCAAATTTACATATGATTCATATATATATATACATATATTAATATTTTTAATATATACATATATACATATACATATTTATATGATTTATGTGTACGTTCCCTTTATCTCCTCTTGTTGCCGAAGAAGTTGTTTCGATTTCCACCCAAGCGGCGCTCGCTCCGCCGCTCCGAGGCTCCAATCGTTCCTTTTGAACCAGGACTACCCACAGCTGCGGATGCCCAACAGCAGCCGATTTGGGGCGCTGGCGCCCATCGTTCTTCCTCCCATCGTGGAGTAGCATGGGATGGTTTGATGTTTGATGTGCAAAAAAAAATCACCTGAAATGTTGGGATTTCATGGGATTTCAATGGCGATAATTGTGATTTAACGAGCCTACATGTTGTGATTTTCCTTGCACATGAGGAGATTGATTTTTAGTGCGGACCAGCAAAAGACTGGGCGAAAGTTGGAGATGCGATCAGCTTTTCTGGAGAAAGAATGTGTTGGCAGCCCGGCCTGAGTTTGAACAAGTTTGCGGCTGGTCATGGTTCCACATTCTAACAGAAACTCAACATGTTGATCATCCCTCTCATTCTTGGAACTTGCTTCGGTAGGTTGATGGGTTGCGGTCTTGTGGTCTTGCCTTTTATGGAAGAATACAACATCCGGTTGAAAACAGGGCATCCAATAGCAGCCATGAATTCTGTGATGATTGTTTTTTCTCCATGGTGATCGGTGCTTGTTGTTTATGTTTTGGATCACACACCGAACTCGCCAACAATATTGACCAAGATTTTGGTAGTGGCTCGACAACCATGAATCATTACTTGGTATCACTGTTGATGGTCCCAACAACAACAACAACAACAACAACAACACATCTCTATGATTACCCCCATGCAGTTCAACCGCCAATCGGATAATCTGGCTGTATTTGTGTGTGGGGATGCATTTCTATACATACGTAAAGACGCATCATATCTAATATATATATATATAGAGATAGATAGATAGATAGATAGATAGATAGATAGATACATAGATAGATACATAGATACATACATACATAGATACATACATACATAGATACATACATACATAGATACATACACAGATACATACATAGATACATACATAGATACATACATAGATACATACATAGATACATAGATACATAGATACATACATACATACATACTTACATACATACATACATACATGCATACATACATGCATAGATATTTACATACATACATACATACATACATACATACATACATGCATACATACATACATGCATACATACATGCATAGATATATACATACATACATACATACATACATACATCCATACATGCATACATGCAAACATGCAAACATGCATACATGCATACATGCATAGATATATATATATATATGTATATGTGCACTGCAAATTGCACTGTACATATAAAAAGGTTGCTGGTTGTGATCCTGTCCGCTGTTTCATCCGCAGTTTGTGCAGGTCTCGGTCTTACCAAAGCCATTGCCCTTGCGGCTAGCCATTCCAACACAAGTGGCTGGGGATCTCTTGTGTCTTGGCCTGGCCGTTGCCTGGTGATCTTCTTGGGGCTATGGATACCATAGGATGAAGATCCATAATTCCCAGCTATTTTGGTGTGGGGGTCAAATGACCCATATCCATTTAAAGCGGGGGGCCCTTCCCGGTGGGGGTAACACAAATCATCGCCGCTTGTTGAAAAGTGGAAAAACTCCAAGGATTCAAGCCCGCAGCATATTGAAGTCATTGTTGATAATTTTTAAAAATGAAACTGTGTTGAATTGTTGGTAAAATCCCAATGTGTTCTTCATTGAAGAAATTGATGCGCTTCCGCGTGGGGCAGAGGTCCTTGTACCTGGATGAGCAAGCCCCCCTGGAGCGGATCTCAGTTATGGGCAAGTGGATGGGATTCTGATTTGAATGGTTTTCTTTAAAGGGGGAAATCATTCATCAATGGGGATATTCTATGATATTCTATGATATTCTATGATATTCTGAAGATATAGAATATCATTGATTCAAATACATTATGATATTCTGATATTCTATGATATTCTATGATATTCTGATATTTGAGCTTGTCAATGGAGTATAACTATGGGATAATCCCCAATGTTTCTTGGGATATCCACGACTGGAACTGCACCCCCAACGATTTTTGGGATCAGTCCAAGGGGCCTGGGATGGTGAGATGACCGTTGATCACCATGGACCATGCATTTATAGTGGTTTAATGGGATTTATAGTGGTTTAATGGGATTTATAGTGGTTTAATGGGATTTTATGGTGATTTATAGTGGTTTAATGGGATTTTATGGTGATTAATGGGGTTTAATGGGATTTATAATGGGATTTATAGTGATTTAATGGGATTTTATAGTGATTCAATGAGATATTAATGGGATTTACCCTCTGGTTATGACTAACATAGCCATGGTATAGATGGCCCTAATCGAAATAGATGGTTTACCTGGGTTTACCGAACTTAAAGCTGGTGGATCTTTCCATGGCGAACTCTTAGTCATAACCAGATGATAGATTGAACCGAGCACTTTCTAGGAAAAATGGTGTGGGCTTTGCCCAGCAATGTTCGGTCATCCATTTACTGAAAATGTGTTAGACAAACCCGTGGGAATCGCTAGAGTTAGACAATTTTGTATCCCTGTAATCTGTGATAATCATGCATTGTTCCATGATTGTGTCTCATTCATAATCCTTCTCAGATGAGAAACACCGCTATTCCTATAGTTTTCCCATGGTTTTACTCAAGTTTTGGGCCATGGCCTTTCCGTTGGGAAAGCAGCTGGATCGGGCAGGAAGTCGGCACCTACAACATTCGATTTGAGGTGAGCAATCCCAGTGGGGACTCCCAGAGACCCGAGCAATCGGACCGTGATTTGGCGCCAGTGGAGGTTCCATCCAGCCATGGGGGTACCCCTTTATCGCTGGATGGTTTAGAATATGTTATCTTTTGGAAAATCCTAGCAAAAACGAATGATTTTTTTGGGTACGAACCAGTTACGATTCGTGGGATCCTCCAAATAGTCTAAATGATGTGGCCCTCGGACGGTTAGGACTGTTGATAAGCCATTGATGTTTCTCTATTGTCAGTAGCTGCTGGACTTTTCATGAGGTATCCAATGTGGCAACACGTTTTATCTATCCCAATCATCACCCAGCGTTCTGATCTTGCTAGCAACCCTCCAAAAGATCGAGTCGTTGAATCCCATCACTAAGTTTCTTAAATATAGTGGTATATATTTCTATTTAAAAAAACTGTGGATGCTTGCAAAATCCGAATCACCAGTTTTTTTATGGTAAACATCCCATTCATCCATTATTTCTAGGCTTTCAACCATCCCAAATTGGTGGTTCGGATTTCGCCGGCAACCATCCTCCGGCAACCAAACCACCGCCCAGCTGTGTACCCGCACGACAACACCTGGTCCATCTTCGCGATGAAAGATATCACCGTGGAGTTTGTCCACGTCATGACAGGCGCCGCTTGGGCAGTTCGCTAGGGAAAACATGGGAAAATGAAGATTTAACTAGGGAAAATGGGGATGATATAACCAAGAGTTGTATACAATTGTTGAGTAGAAGAATGTGGTATGTTCGAAAAAGAAAAAACTATTTCACATGGTAATCTTTTGAGTGCTTCCTCTGCATATATCTATATTACTCTATCTCTTTGTCATTCTTTATCAATCTCTATCTCTATATCATTCTATATCTATATTACTCTATGTATATATATATGTGTGTGTAACATATACATATGTATATATATATATATGTTTATTTATATATATATATATCTATATCTAGAGGTAGATAGCTATACGCTATACATCAACCAGCTTTGTTCCTGTTGACTTTTCCATTTCCACACGGCCAGGTTACTATGAAGGTCAGGTTTCGCCCTTCGACATCAACATCGTCGGAAACCAAGCCGCCACCGCAGCAGATGGGGATTGTTTTTTTTTGTGGGGATATCCATTGAAAATTGGGGGAGATCATGAAGATTAATCCCATAGATCTATGAGATTTACATGAATTTTCATGGGTTTACCATTGAAATAAATATTGGCTTTCTCTGGTTATCTTGATGGGATATGCCATCAAACTATGGAGGATCATAGCACAGTCCACTGCTGGGATGATCCCTGGATGAACAATGTAAAGTCACCGAGGCGGTACAGAGTCAGACGAGTGGAGCGGCGCGAAGCAACGCGATGCCGTTGGGCAACCCAGGGCCCGATTTTTTCATGATCATCCCAAATGACTCATTGGTGAAACCACGCCATGGGCAGACGGATATGGGTACCATCAGATTATTTAGCAAATTTAGCTTAGCCATGGTATAGACGGCCCATTTATAGATGGTTTACCTATTAAAAATGGTGATTTTCCATGGCTATGTTAAATAACCAGAGGGTATCTATACGCGCAACGGGCAAACACCTCGATTTGCCCGCGCTTGTCGGCGGCCATCTTCGTATGTGCTGAAAACGTGATAAAAATGGAAGTTTTTTGCATCATGGCTAACTTCATGTTGTATATCGGCACGCACAGCATAGGGACCTGTGCGAGTCTCTTACACATCATCATCATCATCATCATCATCATCATCATCATCATCATCAAACCCTTATTGAAGATCTTCAATGAATGTAGAAGTTTAACGGGGGTGGGAGAACTAAACCCTTTTTGAAGATCTTCAATGAATGTAGAAGTTTAACGCGGGTGGGAGAATTAAACCCTTATTGAAGATCTTCAATGAATGTAGAAGTTTAACGGGGTTGGGAGAATTAAACCCTTTTTGAAGATCTTCAATGAATGTAGAAGTGTAACGGGGGTGGGAGAATTAAACCCTTATTGAAGATCTTCAATGAATGTAGAAGTTTAACGGGGGTGGGAGAATTAAACCCTTATTGAAGATCTTCAATGAATGTAGAAGTGTAACGGGGGTGGGAGAATTAAACCCTTATTGAAGATCTTGAATCGGGGTGATTGCGCGTATCTATAGTATCTATCTCTCCCTGATGCAAATGGTTTGGGTTCAGGTTTTACACAGACAACAGCAGTTTTGTTGAGAGGATGTTACATGTAGCAGAGCCTGAAACTCTTTCCCGCCAGAAGTTTCTGCCAGGCTCTTCGTGATGCTCTGCGTGCTGTTATTGAACTGCGTGCCGCATCTTTCGTGAACCCGAACTCCGCTGCCCCTCTGTTCCTCGGAGGGACAGCACAGCTTGAGATATTGCCAAAGTGAGCGATATCAATGTTGAAGTCAGGTGTCACCTGCCAAGATGGCGGCCGCCCCAGTCGCTGCGATTGCGGGTGCGGTAGTCGCAGATTTGCATAATTTGCTTTGTGATTTTAGCGGTTGAAGATGACCTGGTGGTTCAGCTTCCATCTAGATGAAAATGACGTTGATTCATTTTGCCGATAGAATCAATAGAATCAAAGCCACCCATCCATATAACTTCAACCTATTCCAAGGGGCCAGGTCATGACCATCCATGCCATGACCATCCATGCCATGACCACCACGTCGTCTCGGCGTTTTTCAGGCGGTACCTCCTCAATTGGATGCCGCGGACCCCTGCAGATCGCCGCGGTGTCGCTGCGGCGCCACTGCCAAAGGGCCAACAAGTGTGTGCATGAGGCGAATTTCCAGCGCGCGAGCAAAAATGGTGCCTGGTAAATGAGGCGAATTTCCGGTGGTATTGAGAGAAAAAACGGATGCGGAACTCTAGAAATTCCATGTTTGGTTGATAAATGCATATAAATATCTGGTTGGTGGTTTGGAACATTTTTTATTTTCCATAATATGTGGGATAATCCTTCCCATTGACTTTCATATTTTTCAGAGGGGTAGGGCTCAACCACCAACCAGATATGTTATGCGCAATGAGTTGGAAGAGCCCATCATGTTCAGATGAGTTGGCATTATCCGCAAGTGGATGTCTTCCATGGCGTTTTGCAGTGACCTTCGCAGGGGGATGGGCCCCTGTCACATTCCGCCAGTGATTCATCTCCTGTGAGATACATGGAGATCAGATAAGATACAGTTTACATACGATAAGATAGAGAAAATATATGAGAAGATGAGATTAGATTTTCCAGTAGATTTTCGCTTAGAGATTCGACGGAGCTGGCCAACTGTATACGGATCATCCTAGTTCGCATAGTGCCCAATCTGCGCGCCATCTGGTTCCAGTTGCGGTCGCGCCCAAAAACTCCGGTTCTCGCACAGATGAAGCAGCTGGGAAGTGACCACCATGGCTTTGTTTTTTCTGATGGTTTAATGGAATTTTCCCAAGGGAATTAGTGGGATTTGATGGAGTTGAATTAGTGGGAAATGGGGTTTTATGGTGTTTGCTGGAATTTAATGGGATTTCATGGATTTAAATGGAGTCTAATAGGCTTTAACAGGATACTCCTCTCTCCCTATTGCTAACCCCCCCAAATGGTAAACATGGTGATCTATTTTTATTATTAGGGGTTATTTCGTATTAGGGTGCCCCTAATGTTCCAATGAAAAACCCTAATAATAAGAATTAAAAAATTGACTTCAAATTTGATTAAATCCCTTCTTAAATTAAAATCTATAATATGAAAATATTGCCAAAAACTGGATACCGAAGCTTTCCGCCAATATTCCAATGAAAAACTCCAATAATAGAAATAAAAACAACGATTTCTATGTTGATTAAATCCCTTATGAAAATATATATACAATATTGCCAAAAACTGGAATTCGAAGCTTTCCCCTAATATTCAAATGAAAACCTTAATAAAAATAAAATACAACTTGTGAGATGGCACCCTAATAAAAATCTTCCAGGTGGCAATCTATTTTTCTTAATAGGGGGTTGAACCCATTGCTTCACCATCCTGTCCTCCTATTGATTCTCAATTACCACAATTAAGAACCCAATTGTGCCAACCAATAAAAAAGGAAGTGCCACACCAATCCCATTTTTTGGGGGAGGGGAGTTTTAGCAATAGGAAAGGGATTATAAACCAACCAACATGGGGGCATATGGGGGCATAATGAGTTATACACCTAGAAACATGATATGGCTCTGAAATTGAGGTCTCCAAATGGCCATATGAGGTGATGATAATCACATGTTTCCACCGGCGGTAAATGATGAGCCGTTTTCGAGACAAATCACAGATCGAAAATTCAAGAGGCTGGAATCAAATTATGAGGTACAGCTGAATATGATTTGCAGATCTTGGACATGTTTGTCCGAAAAATGCACTGCGGAACTGGGATTGACTTTGAAGCAAAAAAGATGCCCTTCTGTTCCATGTTTGATTCCAGGGTAAGTGATCCTGCTCTTGATGAAAAATATGCTCCAACATTGGGCATTTTTTTGGTCCCAGAAGCTGCAAGAAATGGGGATATGGTTTTTGAAGCTTTGATTACTATCATTTTTTTCTGACATGTGCTTTGATCATTGCTACTATTTCGATGGGATGTGTGGTTGTTGCTTTATGTACTCGCATCATAAAATGTGTACATAATATACATGTGTCGCTCGTATTTGCATGTACATATACATACATACACGCATAAACACATGAGGACGTGCGTACGTACGTATGAACATGCATGCATGAACACATTCATACGTACAATACACTGTGCGCAACATTTGAGTATGTCCTACGCTTTGCTGCCCATGAATTTCATGTCAATGTACAGATCCCAAAGACATCGCTCCCAGGCCTCAAAGCACCGATGATCCAGAGGTGCAGTGGTGAGTTCTGATTGGTGAATCAGCCTAATCAGCTGAAAATGATAATTATCATCATTCTGATTGGTGAATCGTTCAAATAATCAATGAGAATTACCCTCTGGTAATTTCACATAGCTATTGAAAATGACCATTATTAGTGGATTTTCCCATAAAAAATGGTGATTTTCCATAGTTATGTAAACGTTTACCAGAGGGTATCATACATCCAGAATCAGGGTGATACCCAGTTCTCAGGAGGCCTTGGAAAAAAGAATGCTATAACGACCAGGGTGATCTCAGCCCCCTAGAGGGTAAGAATATGAGGCCATCTAAATATGACTGGGTAAATGATGTTGCGGCCGAAGCCTCCCGAACCCTGAAATCATGGTTAATAAGAGGAATCATCCCAAAATGGCCTTAAGATTCAGGTTAGTGAAATATCATATTTTATGCAGATAATTATGGCTGTATACCTCCAAGCATAATTCTGGGTCCAGTTTTGGTAGGTCAATAGATCAGTTGTTTTTGCCGCCATGGACTGATGACATCCCCATCTTTGATTCCCATTTTGATCATTTTGCCTCGTTACATTTTCTGTTTCCTAGTTGAAATATCGACCAGACGGTAATCAAACATGGCAATGGAAAATTCTCTATACATGTGGTTTTTGAAAATCATTGGAAACTATGGGAAAAACCCTCTACAAATGGAGGTTTCTAGCGAAAATCATCGAACTCTCGCTGGTGGATTTTCCACATTTAGCCAGGCGGAGCTCTTGCCAGAGCTGGATACACCCATCGAGAAGGTCATGGAAAGCCTGAAACTTACCATGACTGGGGGGGTTAGAGTAGCCATCAAAAGGGTGACTTGGATTGATTTGGGGGATGGTTTATGAATCTGAATTTACCACAGTGCTTACTATATTATCTCTATATATATATTATCTAATATTGGTATAACTTAAAATTTGGGTAGGTGTGCTATAATGTGGGTAAAACAATGCCATGTTTACCACCCATGACTGGGAATGGTAACCACAGCATGTTTATAGCATCTATTTATGGTGATGACTGGGGGATGGTTTGTGAATCTGAATTTACCACAGTGCTTACTATATTATCTATATTATCTAATATTGGTATAACTTAAACTGGATCCCAGTAAGATTCTGGTAAATATGGATCCCCAGTTATTATACCATTGAATCTGGTATAATTTGGGAGTTTCTTGAAATGGATGAAATGGATCCCCAGTCGTCACCATGGCGCTAGCAAGGTCTGATGACTTGGATGATTTGGGTTCACCCACGGAAACCTCGATTTGGGTAGGTGTGCTATAATGTGGGTAAAACAATAATAAACCACCCATTTGGGAATGGTTTATACCATCTATTTATGGTGATTTGGGGGATGGTTTAGTATTGTTTTACCCAAATTGGATTGTTTCCGATGAATGAACGTATAAGACTGGCAGAAGAATGATGTGCTGCAGCATATGGATAAAGAACTAGGGCATCATATGACTGGGTAAGCACGCAGGCTTGTGAAGAGAGTGCCTTTTTCTCTTGGTTGAAAAAAAGAGGAGTAGTCCCCAATTGAAGAAGCAGAGGATAAATGGTTTACCAGAGACCAAAATGGGTTCACAAAACCTATAGCAATGGAAAACATCCCATTGATAGATCATTGTCCATTAAAACCTCCATTGATAGATCATTGTCCATTAAAACCTCCACTTATAGGGAATTGTCCAGTACCACGTTTGATTAACAGACGGTACCCAAAATTGTGCTGGTACCAGATGCACTTCCTCACCGTTGGACCTTTTTTGACATATCCAGCTCGATATAATACGTTTGATATAAAATCTTGACCCAACCATTGGATCCCGATATCTCCAGTCCTGATCCTGCTAAATTTAGCCCATGTTGGGGTTAGATTAGCCTCAGCAAACAAAATTTCAGGATTTGAGCTGACCAACATTTGGTTCCCAGAAAATTTGTGCGCTGTTTCTAAGTGGTTGGTAGTATTTGGGTCGAACTGCTCAGCTAGCAGCAATTTGAAATTTGGTGGCGAAAAAGTAGGGATCAAGCAGGATCCATGTTGAATTTGGTGGCCAAGATGAGGTTGGTGAAGTAGAACAACAATTGTATGAATCTAATATTTGAAGACGACTTTTGAGAGGAACACATATTCTGGGATTTGTATGGATTTGTCATGTCTTCAGCAATAGCATTGCATCTTATCGCAATTGTACTGGTGATGTCTATTTTCATACGGACACAATTTGATTACCCTCCGGTCATCAAGTGTGGCAATGGAAAAGCCACCATTCATAGATGTTCCCATTAAAACCTTCAGTTATAAAGGATTTTCCATTGCCACATTTGATCACTGGAGGGCATTACCTTTGCCTTCACCATAGCTGCCAGGTGCGCTGGAAGAAGTATTTGCTGGCAGGTGGGACCTGGTCATACCTAACCCCTGGTAGTTTTGGTGAACGATTTAAGTAATGTTGGTAAAGGTCATAAACCCCCCATAAAAAGATGTTGATGCTCTTTTACCACCCAGAAAAATGGTGAAATTAGGCTGGATCCTGCTGCTTCACTAATCATTAGTTGAAGTTATATGTAATGAACACAGCCCAGAAGATTAGCAGCACAGGTTGTTTGGTGGTTTGGAATCGGTTCTGCTGTGAGATTGCGATCCCAACAAAATTGATGCATCTTTTTGTTTTGACATGGCAAGGGTTGGAAAATGTTCAGGGAAAACTGTAGCCAATGGCCATATATGGGAATATCCCAATGGGATTCCAATTCCCAATGTATGTACCAATAATAATAAAATGTTGACCATTAATAATATCAATATCAAATGGGATTATCGTAATGGGATATTCAATATTGTTGATATATTTTGAGGTCCTGAAAGGTCATGAAACTGCCTGGTCCTTGTGTCACATGTTTTGTTGATGACCAATTTGAGACTGCAGTTCAATCAACAACTGACGGAAAGCTGTCCGAGATTATCCCCCAAAATGTTTGGGGATGTAATCACTGCATGTCAATGTGACATGATCGAACCCATCTGATATCCACCCGCCACCTACGAACATTATGAACCATACGCGGCCACGCAGAAAGCCGCCCCTACAGCCATCCTACATGGATCTACATGGATATACAGAGAAGCACCAACCAATAGCGGTAAGAACAACGATGACAGCAATCATTGATTGACACATAGATCATCCATTCCCCTTAAGACCCCCAGAACCCCTGGTGGCAATGATTGACTATAGGCACCTACTGATGGTCTTAGTTGTGTTGTATTCTCTCAATGTTGGAGACTTTAAACAAAAGCAGCTTCTCAGATGCGGTGAACAGCCCAACCACCTACCAGTGAATTCTTATTGACCAATGTTTATTTTTTGATGATGGTTTGGTTTATGGTATATTCCCGCCCCCGCAATTTGATGGATAAACACCACCCAGCCTACATCAAGCACCCCATTCTCCCATAGCACAGCTGCTGCCATGGGTCATGATTGGCGAGCGGCCCATAGTGGGCATAGACATAGTGCTTTCAGATCGTGTAACATGGCACAAACGTTGGAGATGGCCGGTGTTTTTTCCATTTGTTTGTTCTGACTTGGTCTTTTCCTGTGATAAATTCCATATAATTCCCATATGATGTTTGCATCTGTGTGGATTGAGGTTTGTAAGAATGATGAAAGTAATGGGATTGGAAGCAACCTATCATGGCTCCATGTATCCTACCCAGCCATTGAAAAACAGCACTGCAGTTGACCAGTTGATATCTTCGTCAGAGTCCCACTCCTACACGGCAATCACTACTAGGATATTGGGATAATGTACTTAGATGCCATTTTATAATATCAAAAATGGTTATTGCCATCATATCTCATGGTTACCCTCTGGTAAACTAACATAACTATGGAAAATCACCATTTTTTAATGGGAAAATCAACTATAAATGGCCATTTTCAATAGCTATGTAACAAATTACCAGAGGGTAGAAGCCATAGGAGATAGCCCCATAAGGCGTTTACGTCGATCATATCAGCACTCCGCGGTGAACTCCATAGACCTGATGTTAGCCTCTGGTAAACTAAGACTTTGCGAACTGGAAAATCACCATGAAAAATTGATAAATCCTCTGGACATAGTATGGAAATTTATGGAATACCCTCTGGTAAACTAACATAACTATGGAAAATCACCATTTTTAATGGGTAAATCAACCATAAATCACCATTTTCAATAGCTATGTTAAATTAGCAGAGGGTATTTATCATGTTAGTTTAATCCATGTGAAAATCACCCCGCAGATCGTTATCAATATTCATGATTTTAGTTTAATCCATTATTTTAGAACAACCCATTCGGAATATTTAGGAATATATTCATCATGTTCATCAGTTCCATGATTCTAGAACAACCTAGGAATAATCCATTAGGAATGAATATGTACTTCACTCTTGGTATTCAAAATCCGCTTATTCCTTAATATTTTAGCCACATCCCATCCTAAATATTCCAAGATATTCCAAGAGTTTTGCTGGTTTTTAGCATCATCTCATCCAACCGCCCATCCCCTGAGGATGTCAAGCTCCACCAAGATCCCCCGCGCCTTTGCGCCCAAAGCGGACGGGGCTTCGACGCCGGTGTTGCTGTCGCGGCCGCGGGGGCCGCCGAAGGTGGTGCTGCCACCCAAACGGCAGGAGGAGGCGCGGAGGAGGCTGAGACAACCATGAAAAGATGGGCAAAAACAGGGCAAAAAGCCATGAAATGATGAAGAATTGCTGAAGGATGTTGATGGTTTATGATGGTTTCTAGATTTTTCTTCGATGTTTTTGGATGTGTAGGATTTTCTTCATGGATAATTGGTGTGTGCCACAGTTTTGGGCGAAGTGTCCCAAGGTTATTGGATATTGGTTTAGACGTGTCGGAAAATCTTCCAAAAGATATCCAGTCATGTGTTCCACTGTTCTGGGTGTTTAAGCCATTGGTCCATTTTGGGTGTGTCCCCACGTTAGCCCCGAGGAACCACCGAGAATTGGATGTGGCCCACATATTTGGCAATAAAAAACCAGATATTCGTCTTTAGATCCCATACATTGCCAGTAGCTATATATATATATATGTATCATAAATTGGAAAAAACAAACATGGCTTCCTGTAGACGTTTCCCAGTAATCTATCGAATCAAAATCAGGAACATTCTGATCACGAGATGTGATCAACAATTCATCCATCGATTCACGCAGAGAATTATATTCCACGTGTAACCAAATCATCATCCAAAATTACGTTAACCTTTTCACAAATTAAGTGTAACCCATTTCACCATTACTATATTTAGAAAAATCCATTGAAATCCAATTATGACCCATAACACTCAAGGGATGATTGGGTGACCAGACGAGCATTTTTCGCATATTGTTGGGATAGTTCAAAACCAACCAGACCAACCAGTTTACGGTTTAAAGTGTTTGAAGATTTACAATTCTGACGTGTTGATTATGCATATATATATATACTTGTATAAATAGATAAATAAATATATATATATAGATAGATAGATAGATAGATATCAATACATATATATATATATACATGACCCATTCATATCCCACCCAGGAGCAACGCCCAAGCGCCGCAGCCACCGCAGCTATCGCAGCCACTGCTGCCGCCCCGAGCCCGCCGCGGGCGACGCCGAGGGCGCAAGCCGCGCAGCAAGCGCCGCAGCTTTCAGCTACGGAGCTGGCAACGCCCAAAGCGCCGCCGGAGAAGAAGCAGCTGGGAGAATGAAAAAATGTGGAGAAATATCGTGTGAAAAGTTGGAGTTAACCATGATTAACCATGAGGAATTAACGAATTTCTTGGGACATATAATATGCATATGTATATGCATATACATGTATATGTCTATGTGTATGTCTATGTCTATGTATATGTCTATGTATATGTCTATGTATATGTATATGTATTGGATGGATGGATGGATGGATGGTAGTATTTAAATGTGTAGATGTATGTACATGACGTACCTGTCGAAAATGGAGACATACTTGGGGATCTGCGGGGAATTTAAGAACGAACATGGAGATACAGGTAAGGGCAGGATCTGAGTATCAGAAAGTGAGATGATTGTGGTGATATAGCCAATCAAAATCAGAAGACAATCAACAAACAAAGGGAATTGCAGAAGCTGATATGAGAATGTGTGCACAAAATTGCCATCTAGCTGACGAAAAATGAAGATTTGCTACGTGCCAGCCAATTTGTTTGCTTCCATGCAACATTCTTACACCGGCAAGAAAATTGCAAAGGGCTAACCTCGGGGAAAAAAACATATGCCCAACGGTCGTGACTTAGTTAATGGTATTCAACCTAGAGTATAATATATGTATATATTTGTTTTTATTTATTTATGGTATATGGTATCAACCATATATAGTTAGTTATGGTTAAGACCAACCTACCAACCTTTGACTCGATCCACACAGAGGATGATCTCTTTGGCCGATGCGAAACACATGAAGAAAACGACAGAACATAGCTGGTAAGTGGCGATTGCAAACGACTTCAAAAGGGAATGTACATGATAATTATACCATTCTTAGTTATACATAGTTGTACCATTATTAAATATTATATATACATGGAATATTATGTATATAAAGATACAATTACAATGCTAAGAATGGTATAGTGGGAAGCACCAGGGATTTTCGCTTCTCTTCTGATCTGAGGCGTGAACCGCAACCATCGCCAAAGGTGAGAACTCAGGCACTGGAGCGTGGGATGATCGTGGCCTACGAGGAGTGCCCTGCGATGGTTGGAAGTCAACAAAGCCAAAAGAAAAGTCCTCAGGATATTCGCAGTACATGTCCAAAAAAAACATCATGGAAAACATGGGCAAAAGTTCCATCCAATTGCCCAAACTGATGGTTCCCAGATTTTTCTGGTGGAGTTGATCAAGGATTATACACAACTTCCCGTCGCTTACCTGGATGATCATAGTTTTAAGGCGATTACTGAGAGCATTTTCCCACGTTTCTCATCAATTAGCAAAGGCAAGTGAATGAATACTAGACGAATGGTAACTACGTAGGGTACACATCCCACTTCTAAGCTCCATGTAAATATTTAATTATATATATGCCATCTATACATATTATATATAAAATTACACTTTATTTGTGTATATATATATACACAAGTGAATTAACATAGACATAATAGACATATACATATATCATCATATATCATGGTAGATATCTCAGTTAAAAAATATGATCACCTCAATTTTTCCAGCACTTTTCGATCCTTTCCAGGAGCAGCTAGGTGCCCCCGATGCCAGCATCGGCGTGGTGGATAGCGTCTTCGCCGCCATCAACGAGGTCTGGATCATTCCCGAGGATGCGGAGGATACCACGGTGCCATGGATAGAAAATGTGATGAAAATCGATGTTTTTTGTGTTGAAAAAATACAAACTCATGATATTATTAGAATAATGTCCAGAGTGATGACTGGTGGTGAATTATGATTAATAATGATGGGTAGTGATACATGGTGATGAACAGTGATGAATGGCGATGAACAATGATGTATAGGTAGTGATTGGTAAGAATTTACGATAACAATAATGATGAAAAAAACAATGTTCTTTTGCCAGCATTGTCATCTTCATACCATAGGTATTTTCATGATGCCAGAATTCGGAATTCGATGATGACGGGAACCAGGTATGTTCATTCTTATCATAAACATGTTTTTCCAGTGTAAGAATTAGTAGAATCGGAGTTATAAATATGGATTATCAAGTCAGCCCTTTTTGCCACTCTTTTCTGCGGTCGATGATGACGGGAACCAGGTATGTTCATTCTTATCATAAACATGTTTTTCCGGTGTAAGAATTAGTAGAATCGGAGTTATAAATATGGATTATCAAGTCAGCCCTTTTTGCCACTCTTTTCTGGCACTTTTCGAGCACCCAAAAAATAGGGCTCGGCTCATCACCGAAGCGCCGAGTCGCCAAGGTGCGGTGTAGCACAAGTCAGGTGAAGTTCTTGGGAACTTGGTCCAAGACCTTGGAAATCATCAATTCCATCGACGTCCCTGCAGATCCTCAGCTGAAATTTTGTTCGTAGCGGAGAGATGGCATATATATCTATATATGTATATATTCATACATGTATTATACACATAAATATATATATATGTATATGTATGTATATGTATGTATATGTATGTATATGTATGTATATATGTATATACATATTTGTATATAGATATATATATATATATAGTGGGAATATTACTCCAAGGTTTTTGTAAGAGTGTTCGATTCTATGGTGGATGACAAATCTTCTATTTTTAGAAGTCAACGGATTTCCACTTGGTTGATTGGGTAAGATGGTCTCGTCAGTTACATACATCAATGAAGTCATGATACATGCAATGGTCATATTCATTTGTTGATGGGTTGCAAACTGAGAATGGAGTGCAGCAATCAAGAGGCCTCTACTCATTTGTTTGCTTGCCAATCTATGCATGGGTTTGAATCACCAATCATAGTCAGTGGAGTTGTTTCTTTTCATCCGCAGAAATTTCACGGGTAGCTGAGATGCAAACCATGTATGGATGTATATGAAACAGCCCGTGCTTGATGGATCTTGATGGCTTCCATATATCACTTGCTTCGGTACTGGGCAGTTTCCCAAACTGATGGGTAGATGGATTACCCGGAGGAGGCTTGGCTATCTGGATTTGCAGAGGATTGTCATCATCCACTGATTGTCATTTTTTTTGGCTCGCGTTCATTACCAACAATATTATCCTAAAATTATGAATGAACTATTTCACAGTTTAACATAAAAATAACATTGGATTCATGAACGTCTCTATGCAATATTCTATGAATGTGAAGTCAACTGCCCATGTGCTTTACTGACACTCCCCATAATGAACAGTTCATAGCTGGCAATAGACGACGCAGTCATCAAATCTTCTGTGGTCAATATTTTTGCAACCCCCAAGACAAGATGCGTAAAAGTGGTAAATCCATTGGGAAAGTCGAAAGCTATCAACCCATGACAATATCAAAAGTATCATTCATATCATATAAGGGTAAATCCAATGTTAGTTGTTCTAACTATGTCTTTAGTATAAACCCATCATCTAACTATCATCTATCTAACTAGATATTGTTCTAACGATGTCTTTGCTGCAGAAAAGCATCTAACGATCGCTATCCATCCGACACCGAGGATCTAGAAGCCATCTTGGGTCCGGATCAGCGACTTGGCTGCAACATGTTTTGATGGGGAAATCAGGAAAACACTCGGGAGAAAAAATCTATGTGGATGATGTGGTTTTTCTGGAAAATATGGGAAGATTGATGAAAATTGGGAAATGGGAATGGTTTCAAGCACTTATTTATGGAAAATATTGGAAATTTAGGGGATTGGTAACCAGAGCACCTATTTATATCTATAAAAACGATGAAATTGGGGATGGTTTATGACATTGTTTTACCCACACATCCAAAATTTGATGTCGAAAACATTCTAAAACCCAAGTTGTCCGATGAGAATATGGCGATACATCGGGGTAAATGTGCGATTGTTGGAGAAAGCCATACTTTGAGATGGGGATACAACTGTCAAACTCTCTCATGGCTGGGTCACCGATAAAGATGAGGATTTGAATGAGTCACTCGTACGTTTGTCGCTGATTTAAATTCTCACAACTCTCCAAAGCAGACCTTCGCTGTACACCCCGGAAAACCAGCACAAAGCTTGTTCCGCTTCAGGTGGACATGGTCGGTTTTCATGGTAGATCGAGGCATGCACTGAAAAGATCAATGTTTGTTTTTATGTTTACGTTGTTACCCTATGATCCACTCAACATGATCGCCTTGTTTCCAACCCCAAATCTAGGTTTCTCTGAAGGCCCTGATTCATGATGCTGGTCACTGTTGATCCAAACGCCCAGGATGGAACAGGTACAGGACTTGGCCAAGGATGTCCCATGCCATTTGGAATCTTTGCCTCCTGATGTGACCTGTCGAAGGGGATGCCTCACATCGCCATGGTGGCCAGTGAGACCCATACTTAGAAACCTGTTTTTTCTGTGGCAAACAGGTCATAGCTCTTCCCCAGAAAATGATATGATTTCCAATGACGTTCACTGTGTTTAGAGGGTGAATGGCTCAACCATTAATCACCCGGACGATGTTAGCCACTTATGTGGTCTTCCAAAAAGCAGCTCCTTGCCTCTTTGGTTTCTTTGCGAAACCTCTCAAACCATCAACATCCTCATCAAATCCAGTGTTCATCATCATCATCATCATCATCATTACAAGTTTGGTTGTTACTGTTTTTTCGTCTACTATTGTTTTAGTGATTTATCACTGTTCATCATCATCCCTAGCATCATCATTCTCAGTCTTCTTGTTATTATTCTACTAAGTAATCATCGTCATAGTAATAGAGGTATTGATAACCATAATAATAGTAATAATTATTATTATTATTAGTGACAAGTATTGATATATATATATATATACGAACACCATCCCGGGCCATGCCCATCCATGCCCCCTCCTCTTCCATCCCCAGGCAGCCCCCGATGCGGGCCCTGCACAGCTGATCTTCGGCCCGGCGCCGGCGAAGGACGTGAAGCTCGCTGTGGAGGCCGTGGTGGGCCAAGTGGACGGCCTGGAGTTCCCCGCGCCTGCGCAGCCCACGGTGCCATGATGGTTGGGTAGGGATGATGGATGATGGCCATTTAGATGGGAGTGTATTTAGATCATATACGAATATATATATATACATATATAATAGATAGATAGATAGATAGATAGATAGATAGACAGACAGACAGATAGATAGATAGATAGATAGATTAGCTAGATTAGCTAGATTAGCTAGATTAGCTAGATTAGCTAGATTAGCTAGATTCGATAGATTAGCTAGATTAGCTAGATTAGATCGATTAGATCGATTAGATCGATTAGATCGATTAGATCGATTAGATCGATTAGATCGATTAGATCGATTAGATCGATTAGATCGATTAGATCGATTAGATCGATTAGATCGATTAGATTAGATGGATTAGATGGATTAGATGGATTAGATGGATTAGATGGATTAGATCGATAAGATCGATAAGATCGATAAGATCGATAAGATCAGATAAGATAGATAAGATAGATAAGATAGATCAGATAGATAAGATAGATAAGATAGATAAGATAGATAAGATAGATAAGATAGATAAGACAGATAGATAGATAGATAGATAGGTAGATAGATAGGTAGATAGATAGGTAGATTAGGTAGATTAGGTAGATTAGGTAGATTAGATCAATTAGATCGATTAGATCGATTAGATCGATTAGATCGATTAGATCGATTAGGTCGATTAGATCGATTAGATCGATTAGATCGATTAGATCGATTAGATCGATTAGATCGATTAGATCGATTAGATCGATTAGATCGATTAGATCGATTAGATCGATTAGATGGATAAGATGGATTAGATGGATTAGATGGATTAGATGGATTAGATGGATTAGATGGATAAGATGGATAAGATGGATAAGATGGATAAGATGGATAAGATCGATAAGACAGATAAGATAGATAAGATAGATAAGATAGATAAGATAGATAAGATAGATAAGATAGATCAGATAGATCAGATAGATAAGATAGATAAGATAGATAAGATAGATAAGATAGATAAGATAGATAAGATAGATAGATAGATAGATAGATAGATAGATCGATAGATCGATAGATAGATAGATAGATAGGTAGGTAGGTAGATAGATAGATAGTTGTATATATATATATATATATGTGATTAGATGTAATTAATGATATGATATATTTTCTATAGATATGGCACGCTGTATACCTATTTATATGTGATGCATGTACATAGCATGATAGATATAGATGTGTTTTAGATGGTATATCCCCACGGAATAGAATTTAGGGAATTGTCCAAACATAGTTTTTGTCACAACTTACCAAGCAGTAGAGGTGATGCGAATCCTGTTGCTGTATGCGCTTGTTCCGGTCTCCACTGTATTCTTGCAGGCCTCCTAAGCTGTTTCATGATAGAATCAGACACTTGTAAACTTTCCCAAACATCCACTGGGGCCAATGTGGCAAACCCAAGTATATAAATCAACCACCATCCAATCGTAAATCGATCCCCTTTTTTACCCTCGGGTAAACTAACATAACTATGGAAACTCACCATTTTTAATGGGAAAATCCACTATAAATAACAATTTTCAATAGCAAACTGTTAGGTTTCCAGAGGGTACCCCAGATTCAGGATGCCACTTCTTTGGGCCTGGACCCCATGGCAAGCGCCATGGCATGGATGCCGTCCATGGGCATGTCCAACGTGCCCATGATGATGGCCACTTGGCATCGCTTGGCGCTGAAAGATGACTGGTCCAGTGAAATATGGGGTTACCCTCTGGTAAACCATAGGAAACCATAGGAAAACCATAGGAAAGCCATAGGAAAATGGTGATTTAATGAGGGTTTATGGTGGTTTAATGGGATTTAATGGGATTTACCCGGCCTGGTAAACATACAAAAACTAAAGAACATCACCATTTTATAGCTGGGTAAATCAACTATTTCTATGGCAATTTCCAATAGCTATGTGAAATTACCAGAAGGTATTATATAACTGGTGACCAATGGGAAACATGACTGGTTGTAGATCCTAAGTTTCCTATATTATGGTTTATTCATCGCTTTCGATTCTGATGCAAGCCAACTTCTGAATGTGTAGGAAGGTTTGAGAAAAAAAACGCCAGGAATTGAGAATGATATATCGAGGTAGCCCAAGTCGACTACGCAAAAAATGACACTGTTCCCTGTCCATGATGTAGCCTATCAAAATATCAAAAGAATGAGAAAGAAAATTGGAAGGTTTCACCAAGAACGCTAGCAATGGTGCCTAGGCGCCTATTGTTTGACATTTTTGCATGTTTGTTGGTGGATACCAGCCTTCAATAGGCGCCATTTGGGCGATTTGGATGGATTCTTGGGATCACCGGGCCACAAGTGGAAGCCCGCCGCGAGCCGCGAAAGATGGATGAAAGCTTTCAAGAAAACCACCAACATTCAGTTGAGAGTTGAGAGTAAAAATACATATTCTGGTTTTCTTGAAACACCTATGTCTAGGGTTTTTTGAACATATCCCTTCAAGAAAAGCTCCCGACCAGGGACGACTGCCCCTGCATTGCGTGTTTTGAAATGGCTTGAAGCCATGATAATCTGTAGCTGCATACCTGATGGTTTCAATATGATCCCATTTTTCACATTTTTTCAGTGGCTCAACCAACAACAAACTCATCAATATCCCCATGTCTTTGCATGTCTTTGCATACTTTTTCCAAATGACATCCTCGTCATCACTCGTCATCCTCCGCTCCCTTGGAACCAGTGGAAGCCCGTCACGTCTGTCACGGAGGTGCCAGTCTGGAGCGGCACACAATGGAGCGGCATGGGATGGTCGATGGCAGCTCAGCAGCCTCCGTTCAGAATGCTTGGGAGATTCGGCCATGAAACCAATTAATGGGATAATAATGATGGTTAGTGATGGTTAATGATGGTTAATGATGGTTAATGATGGCTAATGATGGTTAATGATGGTTAATGATGGTTAATGATGGTTAATGATGGCTAATGATGGTTAGTGATGGCTAATGATGGTTGATGATGGTTAATGATGGTTGATGATGGTTGATGATGGTTGATGATGGTTAATGATGGTTAATGATGGTTAATGATGGTCAATGATGGTTAATGATGGCTAATGATGGTTAATGATGGCTAGTGATGGCTAATGATGGTTAATGATGGTTGATGATGGTTGATGATGGTTGATGATGGTTAATGATGGTTAATGATGGTTAATGATGGTTAATGATGGTTGATGATGGCTGATGATGGTTTAATGATGGTTAATGATGGTTAATGATGGCTGATGATGGTTTAATGATGGTTAATGATGGTTAATGATGGTTGATGATGGTTGATGATGGTTGATGATGGTTAATGATGGTTAATGATGGTTAATGATGGCTAATGATGGTTAATGATGGTTAATGATGGTTAATGATGGCTAATGATGGTTAATGATGGCTAATGATGGTTGATGATGGTTAATGATGGTTGATGATGGTTGATGATGGTTAATGATGGTTAATGATGGTTAATGATGGTCAATGATGGTTAATGATGGCTAATGATGGTTAATGATGGCTAATGATGGTTGATGATGGTTAATGATGGTTGATGATGGTTGATGATGGTTGATGATGGTTAATGATTGTTAATGATGGTTAATGATGGTTAATGATGGTTGATGATGGTTGATGATGGTTGATGATGGTTGATGATGGTTAATGATGGCTGATGATGGTTTAATGATGGTTAATGATGGTTAATGATGGTTGATGATGGTTGATGATGGTTGATGATTGTTAATGATGGTTACTGATGGTTAATAGCCAATGATGCATAAGTTAAACAATGATTAAACCATTAACCAATGGTTTGGGATGAGAATGATTCATAATCCATCATTTGGGGATGGTTGGGATGGTTTATGATTGAGAAAATGGTTGGGGATGACCCTGAAATCAGGATGTTTCTTCAGGATATCATCGAAAAATCTGCGCAAAAAGGAGCTATCTGTGGGCAGAATGATGAAAATCCATCCCAAATCAATCCATGAAAGCTGCAGATTGTTGGGGCCATATAACCATCCATATAATCCATCCATCTAGGTAAATTATAACGACCTCACTACGACCGAACCCTGGAATAATGATTAGTAAGGGGCATCATCCCCAAATAGCCGAACATTTCAGGTTAGTGAAATATTATAATCGACCCAGATCCATATAAAAATATCTCTACCATGGCTTTATCATTGATATCATTGATCCATATATTGATCATAATGGATTATATGGATCATATATAATAAGTACAATATTTATGTATATTAATGATCCATATTAATGATCATAATTGGCTTTTCATTCCTGTCCGATGGGATCTCGTTGAAGTTCCAGGCTGGCGTTCCCTGGGAGGAAGATCAAGGTCAAGGCGGATCTGGGGATCTGGTGTTGGTGCTTGGGTGCTTGGGAATTTTAATGAATATATATTGATCATTAATATATTCATCATTATTATGTATAATATGTATCATATTTATCATCAATATACATATATATATATATGTGTCAGATATCATGTGGATCTTATAAGATAGTAATGATTTAATAACTTAATGGGATAATAGCTGGTTGGTGGTTTGGAATATGAATTTTATTTTCCCATATATTCGGAAGAATCATCCCAACTGACTAATATTTTTCAGAGGGGTTGAAACCACCAACCAGAGATAATATAGTAATGATATAATAACTTAATAGGATAATAGGATAATATAATGGGAAAATGGGATGATGAAACAATGCTATTGGGATCATGAAGTGAATTTCATTGGGAATAATGAGACAATGATATGGTATTGGGATAATGAAATATAAGGAACTTAATTATTGGGGATAATGGGATGATGATATAAACATGGGATAATGGGATATATAATAGGAGAATGATAATGGGATGATGATGGTATTGGGATAATGAAATAGCATGAACTTTTTATGGGTATAAGAACCATTAATTAACAATCACCCTAGTCCCCTCCAAAGAAAGGCACAAGAAAAAGTGAAGTGAAGCATAGTCGAGATATTAGCAACAAGAACATGTTTTTTCAAAAAGCTATAATTTCCACTGGATAATTTCCAACTCCTGAGATCAACCATGGGAAAGAAACTCCAGGAAGCCCCGAGACGGTTGTGACACACTCCACTATGGGGTCATTGGATACTCTGGGATCCTGAGATTCAGATTCCACCCGTTGTGACACCAGAATTGAGTGTATGTTTTGGGTGATCCACCTGTGACAATTGCCAGGAATTCCAAAGTAAGATCCTTGAATTTGGCCTCTCATCATCTCATCTCCGAATCTCATACTACAAAGATGGGGCCTGTGAAATTGTGAATTTCTTTCCAAGCACAAGACCCTCCAAACACCAACATGGAACCAAAACAATGACCAAATACATAAAACAAAAAATACACTACAACTGGATAAATAGACATAAAATCCTCCTGCCAATTTCCACTACTAAATGCTATGACCTAGGTCCCGGAAAGTGAACCAAAAATTTAGTGTGAAATTTCCAGAAACCATTTAGTAGAGAATCATGATTTTTAAAAAAAATCAAGTAAACATCTCTAGACCCATGATCCACATTTAGTAGTGAGGTAAAAATGATATGTTAATCATATGATGTCAAATGTTGTTTTTTGGGGTAAAACCATTTAGTAGAGATGTCAAAAAAATGTTGCAAAATCACAGGAACCATTTAGTAGAGGTTGCGAAGTAGAGTTCATAAAACGGGCACAATGACACGAGACAAAACTGAAAAACCATTTAGTAGAGATTCCCATTCCGTTGCCCCCGATAGTTGTTTGGCCAATCCATGTCCATCAGGATGAATCACGTAAATCCAGATAGTATATGATAATAGATGCTCAAAAAAATAAGAAGCTTGAAAAATAAATATAAATTCTAGAATGCCAATGAATATCAAAGATATTCCTGGGTTGAAGTAAATCAACATGATCGGGTATACCGCGATATGAAACAACAGAAGTTGGACAAAGATAGCATCCTTGCGGTATCCTGCCATGCCGCCTCCAGTCTAGCCAAGTGCTGCCTCTACTAAATGGATGGTCATGGGATCAGTCTATCTAGAACTGTTTCAAACAAAGCCCTGTTGCATCCTTGTGTGCCCTATAATCCCTTACGCGCTATGCAACACCATTTTGTAGTCCCAAAATGTCCAAATTCTATCAAGATTTCCCCTGTCTAGCCAAGTGCTGCCTTGCCTTTTTTGGGGGCGATGCCAAATCCCTCGCTTGGGTGTTTCTTGCTCGTCGGGTGCTGCCTTTCGTGTTTGTTTTTTTTTTTGCTTTTTTTGGGGGGCGATGCCAAATCCCTCGCTTGGGTGTTTCTTGCTCGTCGGGTGCTGCCTTTCGTGCTTGGGTTCTTTTGTTGCCTTTTTTGGGGGGCGATGCCAAATCCCTCGCTTGGGTGTTTCTTGCTCGTCGAGTGCTGCCTTTCGTGTTGGGGTTCTTTTTTGGCCTTTTTTGGGGGCGATGCCAAATCCCTCGCTTGGGTGTCTCTTGCTCGTCGGGTGCTTACTAAATGGATGGTCATGGGATCAGTCTATCTAGAATTGTTTGAAACAAAGCCCTGTTGCATCCGTGTGTGCCCTATTATCCCTTACGTGGTATGGAACACCATTTTGTAGTCCCAAAATGTCCAAATTCTATCAAGATTTTCCCTGTCTAGCCAAGTGCTGCCTTGCCTTTTTTGGGGGCGATGCCAAATCCCTCGCTTGGGCGTTTCTTGCTCGTCGGGTGCTGCCTTTCGTGTTTGTTTTTTTTGCGTTTTTTGGGGGCGATGCCAAATCCCTCGCTTGGGTGTTTCTTGCTCGTCGGGTGCTGCCTTTCGTGCTTGGGTTCTTTTGTTGCCTTTTTTGGGGGCGATGCCAAATCCCTCGCTTGGGCGTTTCTTGCTCGTCGGGTGCTGCCTTTCGTGTTGGGGTTCTTTTTTGGCCTTTTTTGGGGGCGATGCCAAATCCCTCGCTTGGGTGTTTCTTGCTCGTCGGGTGCTTACTAAATGGATGGTCATGGGATCAGTCTATCTAGAATTGTTTGAAACAAAGCCCTGTTGCATCCGTGTGTGCCCCATTATCCCTTACGTGCTATGGAACACCATTTTGTAGTCCCAAAATGTCCAAAATCTGTCAAGATTTCCCCTGTCTAGCCAAGTGCTGCCTTGCCTTTTTTGGGGGCGGATGCCAAATCCCTCGCTTGGGTGTTTCTTGCTCGTCGGGTGCTGCCTTTCGTGTTGGGGTTCTTTTTTGGCCTTTTTTGGGGGCGGCCAAATCCCTCGCTTGGGTGTTTCTTGCTCGTCGGGTGCTTACTAAATGGATGGTCATGGGATCAGTCTATCTAGAATTGTTTGAAACAAAGCCCTGTTGCATCCTTGTGTGCCCTATTATCCCTTACGTGCTATGGAACACCATTCCCAAAATGTCCAAATTCTATCAAGATTTTCCCTGTCTAGCCAAGTGCTGCCTTGCCTTTTTTGGGGGCGATGCCAAATCCCTCGCTTGGGTGTTTCTTGCTCGTCGGGTGCTGCCTTTCGTGTTTGGGTTCTTTTTTTGCCTTTTTTGGGGGGCGATGCCAAATCCCTCGCTTGGGTGTTTCTTGCTCGTCGGGTGCTGCCTTTCGTGCTTGGGTTCTTTTGTTGCCTTTTTTGGGGGCGATGCCAAATCTAAATGGATGGTCATGGGATCAGTCATATATGTGTTTCATGTTGTTTTCTCTACTAAATGGACCCCGTGTATTTCTCTACTAAATGGCTTTGGGGTTTTGGTCGAGTGATGTTGGTCCCGCAACTTGTGCTCAAATGAGTACCTCTACTAAATGGAACAGGGTGTTTGGTCGAGTCATGTTGGCGTCTTAAGACACTGTGAAAATATATCCAAATTTTGCGCTTCAGCTGAACCAGGGGCCCACATTTAGTAGTGAAATTCGATCATGCATGCACATCCATTTAGTAGAGCTTGAGGCTATGCAGGCCGTTTCTTCACTACAAAATGGTTGCACAGCCCCAACCCTTAATTGACAGGGGGTTGACATAAATATATATATATGTGTATATATATACATAACAGACAATATATACATCCAAATCCTAAGTTTTCCTTCTTTGTCCTTTTCCCATGCCGAGGCGAATTTCAGCCCGAGGGCCACGACGCCTTCCCCGACGCCTTCCCTGACGCCTCCTGGGCCGCGACCTTCGCCGACCCGGACCCCGCCGAGCCTGCGGAGCCCGCGGAGAACGGCGGCGCGGTGCCGCCGTGGCGCAGCCAGGAGCTGCCGCCGCCGCCAAAGCGCGTCTCGAGTCTGGCCACGAACAACGCCACGGTGCGGGTGAAACGCTTCCGCAGGGCGCAGCCGACGCAGCCGACGCAGCCGACGCAGCCGACGCAGTCGACGCAGCCGACGGAGCCGACGGAGCCGACGGAGCCCACGGCCAGGGTGCCGTGGATGTGGATTGGAAGGGGAAGTGTGAGTGGATCACAACAGGCAGACCAGGCCATGAGTGAACACTAGAGGTTCCTATGGTGAATGACTCCATAGCTCAGGATGAAGCGGTGGCCCCATAGTTGAAGATGTCTTTGTCCCAATAGATGATCAAAATAATTCACAAGAATGGATGGTTGAATGCTAGACATGTTGTCAGCATGGACAATTGTACATTTTCTGTTGTCCAGGTAGACCAAGGCAAAATAGTTGTCAACTTCACGGTTTTTTTGCATGTACATACAGCCCTTTTTTCCGAGAGCGTTTGAGCCAAGGGTTCTTGTAAAAAAACGGTGAGATATACATAATTATACAATTCATGGTAAACATCTTCACATCTTACATCTGCACATCTTACATCTTCTCTCTCCCTCTCTCTTTCTCATTCTTTCTCTCTCTCTCTCTCTCACTCTCTCTCGCGCTGGAAACCGTCATTCTCTCCGTCTTCAGCCAACGACAGCTCCAAGCAATCGATCATTGCAATGTATGAAGGACATGACCACTGCTCAGAAGAATTTCGCTACTGGTACAAGTCAGGGATGTGCGTGTCCCACTATGCAGCATATCTACCGTGGACACTGGGTGTGGAACCAGCAGTGTCTTAGAGGAGGCACTTGAGGTGCCGAGCGACAGTGATGGATTCTTCGGCCTGTTTGACAAGCGGACAGGACCGTGTCCATTGCGATGACAGGACCGTGTTTTTGTTATGCTGCAGGTAATGAGGAGCACGTTGATTTGCAGCATTCCTTATCCTGAAGGGCAACGTGTTGAGCAACATGGCACTTGTCCATGGCTGGCCCTCAACCCGTTATGAGCACGAAGCACACACAGTTGTCGGTCTGTCCAAAAGCCAGTGTTTGATAAGCTTTGCGTGTGTCTGTGTGTGAAACATCTGAATAGATGTAAAACGTCTAAAATTTGAAGGGGATGAAGTGTGCAGATGTTTCCAACGAAGACTGACCCATCCCACCCCCGTCCCCCCAATGTCTTCCGCCCAAGGTGAAGGAGGAAATCGAGCCGGAGAGCAAGAGTTCAGCTCCAGCAACGGCAGCAGGCTCGATACGGTGTAGCGACCCACCGAAATTTGGTGAAGTTGTCGGCAACCAACTGAGAAGATCAACCGGTTTTTTGCGCGACAATCATATTTTTCAATAGCAGGTGTCGGTTTTTCATCGCCAAAATCATGGTGTTATCACTGATTATTTGGTTGAGTAAAGATATGTAAAGATCGCATCCGACATTGCACATGGATGCTGCCCCAATTCTCATCCCACACGCGAAAAGCAGGTGTGAAGGCTGAGCAGGAGTCGAGCTTGCTCTACTGGGAATCTTGGTGAAACTATGGCCATATGACCCTCTGTTAGCATGTGTTACCCATATGCTCCATGGTGCTGGAATATTTACCTACCCCAAAATCACCCAAATGTAGGTAAATATTCCAGCACCATGGAGCATCTGTGTTAGGTGAGATGTGTGGAAAAATGTTAATTCTGGTGGTGTCGCTTATATGCACCCTACAGAAGACGTTAAGTGTTGTTTGTGTTTGCCCCATCCAACATAGGTTTGTCTAAAAATTACATTAAAATGCCATTGGTCAATCAGATCATGGTGTATCTCCAAGAATTAGCATACATCAACATAGATTGGGTGCTGAATCCAAGCCCAATGGGTTTGTCCCATTCCCAAAATCGCTAAGGCCAAGAGACAGCACCAGTTCAAGGATGGGCCGATCTCGGTGTAAAGTGCAATTCCATTGGTTTTCCTAGGAAAATCATCTACAAACAGTGGCTGTCCAATATCTATGTCAAGGGTCTACCCAAATGATAAACCATCCCGAAGTTCCCCAGAAATTTGATTTCAAGCCTCGTCAATCCGACGTTGCTATAGACTTGCATACGTTTGCCTAAAATTCACATGGGAGGGGACCTTTATCTTGCATCGACATTGACCAATAATTGCGAACACCTTAGCATTTTTGAGTGGAGAGCATGATATCAACGCCAGTCCAACAACGATAGCATGATTGCAGAAGTTCACATGTTCTTTGGGGTGGCCGTTTGTATCCATCGTGTTTACCCAGATTAAAGTTGTGGCTCACCCATTTCAGCGGGTATGAAGATCCAACCTTGGAGCCCCCACAAGTTCATCAAGACCCACATTCCCATCACATCTTGAAAAGCTTTGTTTCATGACTATCTCCACATGTGTTCATGATTATACATATATATATATATACATATTATATCATCATTATACATATTAGATATATATATATACACATGTAACATGAAACTGGGCTGTTTACCCGCCACGTTTTTTCATGCGAAAATCATTGGTCAGTGGAGGTCTTCCATAGCCACCAGGAGCTGCCAAAACTGCCGCAGGGATGGATTCGTGTCCCCTCCCGGCAGTCCTCCGAGATCTACTACGCCACCGGGCAGCACCCGGAGGGCTTGGAAGGTTGGAGAAGTGGGGAACACCGAGGTGTATAAAATACCTATAGTCGTATCTAATAATATCTAATGATATCAATACCTGATAATATCTAAATAAAATATGGTTGTGGTTCAATTTTCATTTCAAGATATCCGGATATTTTATTGTTATATTGATAATTGATATCTCCAATTATCCATGGTTGTGGCTCACAACTCCCATATTTTGTTCGCAACATTTCGCAATATCCCTTGTTTCCAATGGTTGCAGCCCTAACTCCTGAAGAATCCTGGTTTTTCATCGCTATGGGTTGTTGCTTAGAGCCATCATTTGTCACGAGTTCTCTTCCCTGTTTAATCGGATGTTCCCCTTGTTTTGGTTGATAAAAACATATAAAAACCGCAATTCTCTCGCTAGAGCGTCGATATTTGCTTGTTCCGCTGGCTTCCTTGTTCTTTCGGTCACCGGTCACCGTTTTGGCGAGATTCTTATTTCACAAATGGTTATGCTCGTTGGTTGAATCCACACCCCATCTCTGTTGGTTTCAGGTGAATCTCAGCACGGGGGAAGCCACCTTCGATTCGCCCCTGGAGCCGCGGGCCGTTTCGCCGTTTGATGATGTTTGATGTAAGCCAAGAGTCGGATCAGACTAATCGACTTTTATCTTGGTAGACTGATATGGGGGGATTGTTATTCACATCCGAAATGTAATCTAAATCAAACCAGAAAAGTTGGTTGGTCCCAACAACCCTGGTCATGTCCAATTTCGTTCATTTTCCAAAATCCATTGGAAGGCCAACCCTCCGGAAACAAACCCAAACCAAGGTTCATAAGATGTTCATGGAGACATCACCCACCCAATTTTGGAAGCTTTGAATCTGATGTTCCAATGTTTCGACTCGACCAGGATTTACCACCTGGTTGGGAGGTGGTCACCTCCAAATCTACGGGCAAGCAGTGGCATGGCATGGCTGATGGGTTTCCATTTTGTCATGGGGCTACCCCGAAATCATCCAGTCATCAGACCATTTCAATCCATTTTAGCATTGAAACCCATGGTGACTTGGGGATCCCCCATTTCTAGAAAGCCGCAATAAAAAGATGTTGTCATTTAGAGCGGCATGGGTCCAGTGCTGGGAAACACGAACAGCCAAGGTACTTCTGGCACGCGGAGCTGCAAATCTCCCAGTTTGAGCGTCCAACCTGACCACGCAGAACATCCCTGAAATCGGAAGCCGCCATGTTTGTTTCAGTCATGTGAGCTAGTCTCAATATCACAAAGCTGGATCTTAGTGGAGGGAGAAACCAAATAAAAATAAACACCATCAAAAAGCACCCTTTGATGAAAAACCAAGGCTTATCACCAGGTACCTGCGATTCATTGGATGTTCACTTCCAAGTAGGACCGTGCAGCTGCCCGGCAACACCGGTCATAGCTGAAACTCGACAGCCGTCAAAAACGGTGAAGATTGGGTCCGAAAGTTGGATGGCTAGTTATCAAGTTTTAGCCCTTGAGGTTGGGATGGCTAGTTTCTCTGAACTGCTTGAGGTGGGCTGGAACCACCAAGTCGATTCGGATGTATATATGTGCAGAAACAGCACTTGGATTATTTGCGCTAGTCTTTAGGGTCTAGTCATACATGATTGTAAAAAATGAAGACCTAAAGTAAACTTTCCTTTTTTGTTGCAGGCTGTAGGGAGAAGTAACCCCAGGCCTTCTCACACCTTCCCTTGCACCCTCCCTGGACTTTGGATGGTAGGTGTGCCTCTGGGTCTCATGCTCTCCGCGATCGGCGTTTGCTTCAACAGCGAGAGGCACCCGTGCCTCCTGCCGAAAAGCCTGGGGAGAGCCACTGTTCGCAACTGCGTTATATCATATAATATCATATATTTATCATATAATATGATTATATATATATATATATGCATGCTTTCAAGTGTGTAACTATATACATATATCCATCCTGCATCATATTCCACATGTGGTATATACCAGTATATATATATATATTTATTTATTTACTATGATCACATCCTATATATCCTATTTGCACTGGTCACCCATTTGATTCTCTTCTTGGCAGGCCCCTCCAGGGCAACGTGTCCGACAAGTTATTCTTCGTGGATGCAGCGACATTCCGTTTGCCGGCTGGAAAACTGGGGCACTATGGGTGGGACAAAGAGGATATTGTTGGCTGTACACCCCCAAATTATGGATGCTGTTCACCAACCATTGGAGTATTGCGGGCGGTCGGTCCTTCTCTGGCACCCAAGGTCGTTCAAACAATCAGACTGATCGTTCATGAGCCACTGACAGTCACTGATGGCACGGGTGACCCTTTCCATGACGCAGGATGGCCTTTGCCTGTACTGACCATGACATTTCCCTTACAATTTTCTTGAGAGGAAAAAATTCCCCGCAGCCTTTAGTTGTTGGTAGCTTAGTTTCAAAGATATGAATTTGCCAGGCATTGGATGATCCTAACTGACCTTCATCTAAAAAAATCCATGTGTGTCTTTCGTCCGCTGAGGCGGCGTGGCACTGAACTCCGGCAACATGAACTATGATGTAGTCTCTCGGCCGGGCTGCTGCGACTGCTGGGTTAGGCTGGTCCTAAGATCCAAAGTGGTTGTCTCCGCGCTGGGGATGGGTCAAGTTACCTATGACCATATGAAGGGGAATAACAATCCAGCTATACCAGCTATTTTAGGGCAGCGTACCAGGGTTTTGATCCAATATCTCAGAAGTGGGGAAGTTGTTGATGGAAAAGGGAAATCACCAGCAGTAGAGGGCTTGACAGGAGCAGTAGGAGAGGAAGGTTTCCGTAATCTTCATGTAGAACCAATCGGCTGCCTTCCATGTCAATGTCAAAATGTCATGGGCTTCAAAAATGCCAACATTCTTGGGACCTTCAACCTTGCAATTGATAGCCCAGACCTCTTGGTGTCGGTGGCAACATTTCACATCCCATGCCATCCCATGATTTGAAAACCCAAGTTGTGTCGGTTGAACCCCCAATTTTTCGTGATGAACCATACCCATAAACTAGCTAAAACCAGCTAAATACAGGAACATTCTTGGAAGGTACCAGCTGAAAACACCGCACCGCCCGAGGTCTTCAACCAGACCCTCTTCGATTGTGTGAAGTCCCTGGGCCGTTGATACATTGATGGGGAGTCCGGGCATATGAACATATTATGAAAACATATCAGTCAATCAAGAATCGATCAGTTGCATATTGCATTTCTTGTTTTTGATATTTTTCCCGAGAGCGCCTGCGAAGGGTTATTCGTAAAAAAGCAGCCGTTATACTACATCTTCACACCTTCACATCTGCTGATCTACATCTTCACACCTTCACATCTGCTGATCTACATCTTCACACCTTCACATCTGCTGATCTAGATCTTCACACCTTCACACCTGCAGATCTAGATCTTCACACCTCACATCTGCAGATCTACATCTGCAGATCTAGATCTTCACACCTTCACACCTTCACACCTGCAGATCTAGATCTTCACACCTCACACCTGCAGATCTAGATCTTCACACCCTCACATCTGCAGATCTACATCTTCACACCCTCACATCTGCAGATCTTCACACCTTCACACCTGCAGATCTAGATCTTCACACCCTCACACCTGCAGATCTAGATCTTCACACCCTCACATCTGCAGATCTAGATCTTCACAGCTTCACATCTGCAGATCTAGATCTTCACACCCTCACATCTGCAGATCTACATCTTCACACCCTCACACCTGCAGATCTAGATCTTCACACCCTCACACCTGCAGATCTAGATCTTCACATCCTCACACCTGCAGATCTAGATCTTCACATCCTCACACCTGCAGATCTAGATCTTCACACCCTCACATCTGCAGATCTACATCATCACACCCTCACACCTGCAGATCTAGATCTTCACACCTTCACATCTGCAGATCTCCTCTCGCTCTTCTTCTATTCTCTCTTAAGGCGGGGGCGGTGCCGCCGGAGCGCCACGAACGCAACCGTTTCGCACGAAATGGACGTTGGACGTCCAAAACCTAGGTAAAATTGCGATTTTGAAGCGTCCCCGGCAACCCTTTCGCACGAAATGGACGTTGGACGTCAAAAACTGAGGAAAAATTGCAACTTTTATCGGTCGCGCGCAACCTTTTCGCACGAAATGGACGTTGGACGTCAAAAACTGAGGAAAAGTTGCGACTTTTATCGGTCGCGCGCAACCCTTTCGCACGAAATTGGACGTTGGACGTCAAAAACTGAGGAAAATTGCAACCTTTATCTGTCGCGCGCAACCTTTTCGCACGAAATGGACGTTGGACGTCAAAAACTGAGGAAAAATTGCGACTTTACTTAGTCAATCGCAACCTTTACACACGAAATGGACGTTGGACGTCAAAAACTGAGGAAAAATTGCGACTTTTATCCGTGGCGCGCAACCCTTTCGCACGAAATGGACGTTGGACGTCAAAAACTGAGGAAAAATTGCGACTTTTATCGGTCGCGCGCAACCCTTTCGCACGAAATGGACGTTGGACGTCAAAAACTGAGGAAAAATTGCGACTTTACTTAGTCAATCGCAACCTGACACACGAAATGGACGTTTGACGTCAAAAACTGAGGCAAAATTGCGATTTGACTTCTTCAATCGTAATCCCTACGCACGAAATGGACGTTGGACGTCAAAAACTGAGGAAAAAATGCGATGGACGTTGTGTGTGTAAAAGCGTCTGTGTGTAAAAGCGTTTGTGTGTGACAGCGTGTGTGCGTGTGTAAAAAGCATCTGCGTGTAAAAGCGTCTGTGTGTAAAAGCGTCTGTGTGTAAAAGCGTTTGTGTGTCAACGCGTCTGTGTGTAAAAGCGTTTGTGTGTGAAAGCGTGTGTGCGTGTGTAAAACGAATCTGCGTGTAAAAGCGTCTGCGTGTAGAAGCGTCTGTGTGTAAAACCGTCTGTGTGTAAAAGCTTTCGTGTGTAAAAGCGTCTGTGTGTAAAAGCGTCTGTGTGTAAAAGCGTTTGTGTGTAAAGGCTTTTGTGTGTCAAAGCGTCTGTGTGTCAAAGTGTGTTTGTGTAAAAGCACCATGTGTAAAAGCGTTTGTGTGTAAAAGCTTTTGTGTGTACTTTTACCGCACGACATGGAACTGTCAGAGATTGAGGGTGCAAATGCTTGCTAGTGTATCCGTGCTAGGACGTGCGGAGCTTGGTTCGTTTGGTGTGGTAATCTGTGTGGGAATTGATATGTTCATAGTGAGCTTCACTGTTCAGTTTGCATGTCTATGCGACAATGATGTTTGCTTGTCAAACGCAGGAGTCGTGGTCTCAGGGTTCGAAGAACACATTCTTTGCATTGAATTGTGCGAGTGTGTAGCAGGTTAGTGCATGAAGTTGTAGAAGTTACCAAGCTGTTGGGTTCGTTGTACCTTTGTGGATGTTTCCTTCGAGAACGGTGTGATGCATGTAATTTACAGCATCATGGTGTTCGACAATGATGCCCATCCCAAGTGTCAAACTCACGAATTGTGTTCTCAGTTTGGAAGTCCAGGATGATGCAAGATGAAACAAGGCATTTCGAGATGATGCAAGATGGTGTTGCCGAGCTGCTGAGTTTTTTGTTACCGAGCTTTGTTAAACTAGTTTTTTGTTGATGCGTTCAGCCTTCAGTTTGCAGGTCTCTGCGACAGTGGTTCTTTGCCATGTCAAACTCATGAGTGGTGTTCTCAGTTTGGAAGTCAGAGAACAAATGCTTTGCAGTGGATTGTGCAACTCTGCAGAGACAAGCATAGTTTACCTCTTTACCTCTTTCCTGGGCTCAGACGTGAACGTAGAGACAAGATGCATTGTGCACAGAGTGAACATCCATATTCTTATATGTACGCTGAATGTTCGTGAAACAAGTGACGATTGGCAAACAGGTATCTTTAACATTTCTTGCGCTTCTCGAGGTTTCTGTTGGGGCTGTCCGTGAGATCTCGAGAATTGCATTGTGACAATGTCAGTGTTTGTTTACGATGCAGTGGATCTATGTGATGTATAGCACGAAAAAAATATATGTGATGTTTTCATTGAAATGCATGAGCAGTGGACGAAAAAATACTACGGGAATCATTGTACCGTTCAATTTTGTACCGTTCAATTTTGTTTTGAGATCAAGCATGTCATGGCATTGTTTTGAAATCAAGCGAACAGATATGTATGTCTCGGAATTTCTGAATGCAAAATGTTTGGTTGAAGTCACGCACCCGTGACGTTTGTGGACGTTTTGTGGTCGCTGTTTCATTTGC